CACATATAGGATGCCATCGTTCTGGTCTACATAAAATAGAGAATCCATAGCACTAGACACAATCCGATACTTCCTGTCTTTCAGAGTGCTTTTTTCTAATCCAAGATCTTTTGCTATATTTCCAACCACAGTTCCTTCCTTGACTTCCTCAGAGATTGAATATCTTAATTGCGCTGAGGCTAGACTCCACAAAAGCACCGCAATCACGCAGCTGATCCACCGTCCTCTCGCCCTTATCGCCTCGCATCCTCTTTGTTCCATGATTCAATGCCAAACCCTTATTGAATCACTGCTGTATCAATAATCCTATCGAAATAAATTAATCCAACACATCCGGGTATGCCAATAATCGCTCTGTTTCAAAAATGTTAAAATTACAGGACAATATTTATATAAGCAGCAAAAAAACGAGAAGCGATTCTTTCAGTATGTGACTGAGAGTGCTTTAGAGAGGTGGAATCGAAATGCAGTGACGACAAGACAAATCCGTTATTCTCCTAACACACTGACACCATGCGATGCAAGTATTTACTACAAGTAATCCTATATTTGTACATTATTTTCATAGATGTATGGCAAGGCTTTATATCTATCCAAAATGTTTCTGAGGTCATGGGTAAAAAAATACATCGGAGGAGGAGAACAATCATTTAGCTAATTTAACGCCAAAATTTAAATTGCTCTTAGTTAAAATGAAAGCAACAAATCCTCCCAAAATGTTAGATTTTACCAAAAACCTCTGAATTTTAGTTGTTTGAAATTCACAAACAAAAAATATGGGGCAAGGGTCATTGAAGAAATTCGTGGCTTTTGGTATCCCTTACATCATGTTAACAAGTATGAGCAACATGGACAGCGACAAAAACCAGCTCAAATTCGGCCAAGCCATATGAGTTTATGTTAAATAACGGAACTGGGAAATCTCAAATCTCATTCTGGTTTGTGAGACAGTTAAGATGCTTTGCAGACTGTTACAATGAAATCAATATGTTTTTCAGAGTATTGTGAAAAAGGCGGAGACTATGGAACAAGACTGGTATGAGTCAACAAGTAGTTCTGCATCAACCTATGTTAACAACTGTTGTTATAGTTACATCTATGACTAAAAGCAGGTAGAGTATGATCAAAAATGCTACTGAAAACCCAAGAATGCCAGTCCAGTGTCCTACTTCACTGAAGTATGTTGTGATACCAAGCAAACAGTATATATGCAGTGAAAGAACTAATTAATAAATGAAAACACAACAGCACTGCTGGAAGTAGTAAGCTGGATGTTCACAAAAAAAGTCTTACCTCCTCAGACATTCTCCTCCTGTCAGGAAGCACTAGTGTATTCGCATGGCTGCCAGGGACAATAGTAGATCCTATACTCATTCTGGGTCCAACTAACATGTAGCGTTTGTCTCCAGATCTGTACTGGATGCTGTGACACAGTGTCCCATCATAATTAGTCTCTTGTAGATATTTAGAAGTATAGTCTGTGGATTTTGAGCACTGCATTGCAATCAGCACAATGATACTGATGAGAAAAAGTGCTGAAACTGAGCCCAAAGTTATCATCAGGTAAAAAGTCACATTATTTTCCTCTTCTGCTTTTGCTGAACTTTTCACATCAGAAGCTGCAAAAGCCTCTTTGGGCTCCACAAGTTTGACAATCACAGTAGCTGTTGCTGAGAGAGAAACGTTGCCATTGTCTTTGACCAGTATGACCAGTTTATGCTCAGCCTCGTCTGTCTCTGTGAATGAGCGAAGTGTTCTGATCTGTCCTGTATAGCGGTCCAAACCAAAGAGACTGTGGTCAGTAACTTCCTGCAGTGAAAACAGTAACCAGCCGTTATATCCAATATCAGCGTCATAGGCTCTGACTTTAGTCACCAAGTGCCCTGCATTCACATTGCGGGGAATCTCCTCCACACCTTCAGCAGAACCGTTAGAGCTGACTGGATACAGAATGACTGGAGCGTTGTCATTCTGATCCAGAATGAACACGTTCACTGTGACGTTGCTGCTTAGTGACGGAGTTCCAGAATCTGACGCAACAACGTGGAACTGGAAAGTTTTTAATGTTTCAAAGTCAAAACTTTTTAGCGCCAGAATGTCTCCATTATCAGAGTTCATACTGAGAAATGACGTCAGTTTGTTATCTTCGCTTCTATCTCTGAGAATATGATAGGAAATATGTGCATTGTCATTCTCATCATGATCTAACGCTTTCACTGAGAACAAAGATGCACCAGGCTCATTAGCTTCAGTGACATAGAAAGTATAGGGACTCAGTGAAAACTCTGGACTATTATCATTCACATCTGACACCACAACACTTATTGTCTTTTCAGAGGATAGTGGAGGTTGACCAGCGTCTTTTGCAGTTACTGTTATAATGTATTGTGACTGTTTCTCTCTGTCCAGAGGAGACTTGGTCACTAGTGAATACATTTTGTCTTGTAAGGATGGTGATAAAGCAAAAGGAACATCCTCACCTATGGAGCAAATAACTTTTCCATTTAGACCAGAGTCCAAGTCATTGACACTGATAAGGACAACTGTAGTTCCAGGTCTGGAGTCTTCAGGGATGGAGCTGGAAAATGAGGTGACTTCAATCTCAGGTGCATTGTCATTCACGTCAACTATCTTGATAATTACACTTTTTTCTGTAGCCAGTGGGGCGAAACCTTTATCTGATGCTCGAATTTCAATTTCATATTTTTCCTTTTCCTCATAGTCTATTAAACCTTTTACAATTATCTCGCCTGTTGACGGATTTATATAAAATAGTTTTAATAACCTTGGATTGATACTGTTGGTAAACGAGTAAACTACTTCTCCGTTTGTTCCTTCATCTAAATCAGTTGCATTCACTTGTATGACTTTTGTGCCTACTGGTGCGTTTTCATTAAGCATCACAGAGTAAACGTCTTTAGTGAAAAGAGGAGCGTTATCATTCACATCCAAAACATTTATTAAAATATTCATGTTACCAGATTTCGGAGGTTTCCCCCCATCCACTGCTGTCAGCACTAAAGAGTGGCTTGCTGCAGATTCCCTGTCTAAAGACTTTTTAACAACCAGAATAGGTATTTTGCCATCTTCTCCTTTATCCTTAACCTCCAAACGGAAGTGATCATTGTCGCTAATTTTATATTGTTGCACGGAAAAATGACCACTGTCTGGATCACGTGAAGCTTGTAGCTGAATACGTACTCCAGGCAATACGGATTCTGAAATCTCCAATGTTGTGTCTTTCTCTGTGAAAGTGGGATAATGGTCGTTTATATCCTGCACTTCCACTCCCACATAGTGTACCTCCAGTGGGTTTTCGAGCACGGTTTTTACATTTATTAAACACGTACTGCTCTGCGCGCACACCTCTTCTCTGTCAATCTTTCGGCTCACATACAGGATGCCATCGTTCTGATTAACATGGAAAAGATGATCGGCATTACTGGAAACAATCCGATACTTCCTCTCTTTCAGTGTGCTTTTATCTAACCCCAGATCTTTTCCGACATGTCCAACCACAGTTCCTTCGTTAACTTCTTCAGAGATTGAATATCTTAACTGAGCTGAGGCCAGATTCCACAAAAGCACAGCAACCACGGAGCCGGCCAAATATCCGCGCTGCCTTCCTGGCTCGCGTCTTCTTTGTTCCATCGTCCTAACCGAAATCATTAGTAATCCATCTCAAAGAAGAAATTATCTTGTAAAAAATGGAATCCAACACCTTTTTATGTGTAGTTATTCATTCACTTGCTATATTTGCAGACCTTAGGGCTAATTGATCGTTCACACAGAAGAGGCACAAGAACGGTCTTGTCAGTGTGGAAGTGAGAATGGTTTCAGTAGGTGGAACCAAATAGAAATGGCGACAAGCTTGTACAACGTTAACTGTTTACATTGCACTGACACCATGCGTCCTTATTTTTCATTGCAGAAATTTGTAGGATGTTCTGCATAGTAGGTTAATGGTAGATTATCATTAGCCATTGCAAACACCTGAGCAAATTCTGTAAACAAGAGAATGCAACTTCCCTAAAAATGGTACAACAAACGAAATATATTTCCATGATTGTACACATCAGGAGTGAACTTTGATCATTCCATGTGATTGTTGTCCTGTGAAATAAGTCACTCTCACAAAACAGAAAATTAACTCTCATTAAACAAAGCCAAACACTTTCAGCACCAAGGACAGTGATTGTAACCTGTTGCAGTTCAAGATAGCATTTCGATTAACTGATTTTCATATCTTTTAAGGTTTAGTGTTGTTAAATTGACTCGAGCAGGGTTTTCACACCTACATACTGTACTTGTCATTCTACAGGATGGATAGCTTACCTTTTCACCATGTAATGGTCATTGCTAAATTAAGTGACGATGCACAATCACCAAACTGAAATAAATCTGTTTTCATTTGCATCCGCTAAATCAAATGATCAACCAAGTGTAAAATTAGAAAGAATTTTTGAGAAGTTACAATTACATAAAATACAAATACCCGTGAAACAATAACAGGATATCGCAGGGAAATTAAAAAGCTACAAGCAAAATTTCATTGCGGTCCAAGAAAACTGCCAAATGTCAAATTACTGCATGAAGTCAGACATGTTCTGAAACAGTTGATGAAGATATTCATAGAGTAGGATACCAAGAAAAACAATAAATGAAGTGCTATTTAACTATTGCAAGTCAACCTAACTTTCCCGCTCTTACTCTAGCCACAAAGTTAAGCACTTAAAGTCATAATTGCCAAAGGAAAACCAAGGAAGCCAACAAATCCAATGCCATATGCAGAACATTACCCACTAGGTTTCAGTTGATGTTTAGCAAACATAGAATACAGTTAGTCATCTCACAGTGTGCATTTAAATAATCTTACCTCTTCAGAAGTTCTCCTCCTGTCAGGAAGCACTAGTGTATTCGCATGGCTACCTGGGACTATAGTAGATCCTATACTCATTCTGGGTCCAACTAACATGTAGCGTTTGTCTCCAGATCTGTACTGGATGCTGTGACACAGCGTCCCATCATAATTAGTCTCTTGTAGATATTTAGAAGTATAGTCTGTGGATTTTGAGCACTGCATTGCAATCAGCACAATGATACTGATGAGAAAAAGTGCTGAAACTGAGCCCAAAGTTATCATCAGGTAAAAAGTCACATTATTGTCCTCATCTGCTTTTGCTGAACTTTTAACATCAGAAGCTGCAAAAGCCTCTTTGGGCTCCACAAGTTTGACAATCACAGTAGCTGTTGCTGAGAGTGAAACGTTCCCATTGTCTTTGACCAGTATGACCAGTTTATGCTCAGCCTCGTCTGTCTCTGTGAATGAGCGTAGTGTTCTGATCTGTCCTGTATAGCGGTCCAAACCAAAGAGACTGTGGTCAGTAACTTCCTGCAGTGAAAACAGTAACCAGCCGTTATATCCTATATCAGCGTCATAGGCTCTGACTTTAGTCACCAAGTGTCCTGCGTTCACATTGCGGGGAATCTCCTCCACACCTTCAGCAGATCCGTTAAAGCTCAGTGGATACAGGATGACTGGAGCGTTGTCGTTCTGATCCAGAATGAACACGTTCACTGTGACGTTGCTGCTTAGTGATGGAGTTCCAGAATCTGACGCAACAACGTGGAACTGGAAAGTTTTTAATGTTTCAAAGTCAAAACTTTTTAGCGCCAGAATGTCTCCATTATCAGAGTTCATACTGAGAAATGACGTCAGTTTGTTATCTTCGCTTCTATCTCTGAGAATATGATAGGAAATATGTGCATTGTCATTCTCATCACGATCAAACGCTTTCACTGAAAACAAAGATGCACCGGGCTCATTAGCTTCAGTGACATAGAAAGTATAGGGGCTGAATGAAAACTCTGGACTGTTGTCATTCACATCTGACACTGCAACACTTATTGTCTTTTCAGAGGATAGTGGAGGTTGACCAGCGTCTTTTGCAGTTACTGTTATAATGTATTGTGACTGTTTCTCTCTGTCCAGAGGAGACTTGGTCACTAGTGAATACATCTTGTCTTGTAACGATGGTGATAAAGCAAATGGAACATCCTCACCTATGGAGCAAATAACTTTTCCATTATGACCAGAGTCCAAGTCACTGACACTGATAAGGGCAACTGTAGTTCCAGGTCTGGAGTCTTCAGGGATGGATCTGGAAAATGACGTTACCTCAATCTCAGGTGCATTGTCATTCACGTCAACTATCTTAATAATGACGCTTTTTTCTGTTGTTAGGGGAGCAAGACCTTTATCTGATGCCTGTATTTCAATTTCATATTTGTCCTTGTGCTCGTAGTCTATTGGATGTTTGACAATTATTTCACCTGTTGACGGATTTATATCAAAGAATTTGAATAACCTCCGATTTACACTGTTGCCAAAAGAGTAAATGACATCTCCATTTGGTCCTTCATCTAAATCAGTTGCATTCACTTGTATGACGGTTGTGCCTACTGGTGCGTTTTCAATGAGCATCACAGAATAAACGTCTTTAGTGAAAACAGGTGTGTTATCATTCACATCCAAAACATTTACTAGAATATTCATTTCGCCAGATTTCGGAGGTTTACCCCCATCAAGCGCGGTCAGCACTAATGAGTGGCTTCCCGCAGATTCCCTGTCTAAAGGTTTTTGTAAAATTAATATAGGTATTTTACCATCTTCTCCTTTATCTTTAACTTCTAGTCGAAAGTGGTCGTTTGGGCTGAGTTTATAATGTTGCACGGAAAAATGACCACTGTCTGGATCCCGTGCCGCTTGTAGCTGAAAGCTTGTTCCACTTAAGACAGACTCAGAAATTTCTAACGTTTTTTCTAACTCGGGAAAGCTGGGCGAGTGGTCATTTACATCCAAAATTTCCACAGTAATATAATGGACCTCCAGTGGATTTTCCAGCACGGTTTTCAGATTTATCAAACATGTACTGCTCCTTTCGCAGACGTCCTCTCTGTCAATCTTTTTGCTCACATACAGGATCCCATCGTTTTGATTTAAACGGAAAAGCGGGTCCGTTGCACTCGAAACAATCCGATACTTCCTGTCTTTCAATGCGCTTTTATCTAACCCCAGATCTTTAGCAACATTTCCGACCGCACTGCCTTCCTTCACTTCCTCAGATATAGAATATCTTATCTGTGCCGAAGCTACGCTCCACAAAAGCGCAGCAACCGCGATACAGACCCATCGTCGTGTCGCCCTTCGTGCCTCTAATTTTCTTTGTTCCATGTTCATCAACGGAGATGGTAATAATAATCCTTCAGCGGAAGAATAACTGCGTCAGAAACACATCATCCTGCGCAGGAGCACGTGCAAACCTTTACACCTTTCAATATATTTTAGATATAGGAAGTCTTACAATGGCAAACCGTTAGCTCATAAACAACACTGGTACTATATGAACTCGTAATGTCATCAACGAGGGCGGTTCCAGTAGCAAGAGCCTTTCTGAAGCACTTCTTTTTTCCTGTGCTGACACCATGCGATCTGTTTTTTCATTGCAAGAAAGTGAGAAGAACTCAAAGACCCCAACAGTTTTTCCGAATGCACCTTAGCTGGTCAAATATCTCAATCCATCATATATACTGCATCCCTCTATTATGCGTCTCTATTTTCAAAAGCATTTTTCCTAAACTGTCCGAGTAACACGCGCATCCAAATGTCCTTCGAACATTTGAACAATTCAGCACCATGGACAGTGAAAGTAACCAAACTCCAGTTGGTCTAAATTACCTTAATTATCTGACTGGGCTTTTAATTTCAGTTTTAAAATATTTTTAATAAATGGTAACCTTTAATAACACAACATACCTTAACATGATTACTCAAAATACATATATATCATAATCAGCTACCCTGGAAATAATCTTACCTCTTCAGATGTTCTCCTCCTGTCAGGGAGCACCAGGGTATTCGCATGGCTGCCCGGGACTATAGTAGATCCTATACTCATTCTGGGTCCAACTAACATGTACCGTTTGTCTCCAGATCTGTACTGGATGCTGTGACACAGCGTCCCATCATAGTTAGTCTCTTGTAGATATTTAGAAGTATAGTCTGTGGATTTTGAGCACTGCATTGCAATCAGCACAATGATACTGATGAGAAAAAGTGCTGAAACTGAGCCCAAAGTTATCATCAGGTAAAAAGTCACATTATTTTCCTCCTCTGCTTTTGCTGAACTTTTCACATCAGAAGCTGCAAAAGCCTCTTTGGGCTCCACAAGTTTGACAATCACAGTAGCTGTTGCTGAGAGAGAAACGTTCCCATTGTCTTTGACCAGTATGACCAGTTTATGCTCAGCCTCGTCTGTCTCTGTGAATGAGCGAAGTGTTCTGATCTGTCCTGTATAGCGGTCCAAACCAAAGAGACTGTGGTCAGTAACTTCCTGCAGTGAAAACAGTAACCAGCCGTTATATCCTATATCAGCGTCATAGGCTCTGACTTTAGTCACCAAGTGTCCTGCGTTCACGTTGCGGGGAATCTCCTCCACACCTTCAGCAGAACCGTTAGAGCTGAGTGGATACAGAATGACTGGAGCGTTGTCGTTCTGATCCAGAATGAACACGTTCACTGTGACGTTGCTGCTTAGTGACGGAGTTCCAGAATCTGACGCAACAACTTTGAACTGGAAAGTTTTCAGTGTTTCAAAGTCAAAACTTTTTAGCGCCAAAATGTCTCCATTTTCAGAGTTTATGTTTAAAAACGAAGACAATTTATTCCCGCGTCCATCTCTTAAAATATGATATGAAATGAGAGCATTATCATTTTCATCACGATCAGAGGCTTTTACTGAAAATACCGAGGCTCCGGGTTTGTTGTTCTCAGTGATATAAAATGTATAAGGACTTGATGAAAATTCCGGACTGTTGTCATTTACATCTGATATAACGACTTTTATAGTCTTTTCACTTATAAATAAAGGGTCACCTGCGTCTTTCGCAACAATTGTGACATCATACTGAGAAATAATTTCTCTGTCCAACTCTGACCTAGTTACAACAGCGTACATATTTTCTTGTAACGATGGAGATAAAGTAAAAGGGACATCTTCGTTGATTGTGCAAATGACTTTACCGTTGATTCCAGAGTCCAAATCACTGACGCTAATGAGGGCCACTGTAGTGCCTATTTTTGAATCTTCCTTGATAGAGCTAGAAAATGACGTCACTTCTATCTCAGGAGCATTATCATTAACATCAATAACAGTTATCAGAACACTTTTGTCAGTTGTTAGAGGAACTGGTCCTTTATCGGAGGCCTGAATGTCAATTTCATAAATCTTACTTTTCTCGAAATCTATCGGACCTGTTACTTGGATTTCACCAGTGTTTTGGTCTATACTAAAGAGATCCATTAATTTTGAATCAACTTCGTTTCCAAATGAATAAATTATTTCGCCATTTGCACCCTGGTCCAAATCAGTTGCATTTACCTGAATCACCACAGTGCCAACGGGAACGTTTTCTTTTAGTGTGGCAGAATACTGTTCTTTATTGAACACGGGCGAGTTGTCATTAACATCAAGTATATCCACAATTATTTCTATATTGCCAGACTTCGCCGGTTTTCCTCCATCAACGGCTGTGAGACGTAGCTTATGTTTCCCAGTCGTTTCTCTATCCAGCTGCTTCTGCAGAACTAAAAATGGCACTTTACGATCTTCACCTCTATCCTTGACTTCCACTCTAAAATAGTCATTATGGCTGAGTTTATATTGCTGAATTGAGAACTGGCCTACATCAGAGTCGCGCGCAGCTTGTAGCTGAAATCTCGCTCCTGCTAGAGCCGACTCGGAAATTTCAAGCCTTTTCTCTTTCTCAGGAAAAACTGGCGAGTGATCATTCATATCAAGTATTTCCACTGTCACATAGTGAATCTCCAAAGGATTTTCTAGTACGGTTTTCAGTTGGATCAAACATGGGCTGGTCCGTTCGCACACCTCCTCCCTGTCTATTCTTCTTTTCACGTACAGGATACCATCGTTTTGATTCACATGAAAAAGGGGTTCAGTTGAGCCTGTTACAATGCGATATCCTCTGTCTTTGAGTGCACTCTTATCTAGACCCAAATCCTTAGCTATATTCCCAACGACGGTTCCATCTTCAACCTCCTCGGATATTGAATATCTGATCTGTGCAAAAGCTCCGCTCCATAAAACATCCAACACAACCATGAAGGCAAACCAACACCGTCGTTCCCTCCAGGCTTTGCATCCTCCTCTTTGTTCCATGACTTAAAGATGATAAAGAATAGTCCATTGAAATATGTCGTATTTTTACATAGACTTAGTGCGTCACGGACATGAAAGACGACCCACTTCTGTTTTTACAAAAACTGCTGAAAATAAAACACATTCGTTGCTGGCAATCGCGATGGTACGCTCGAGTATGCTGTTTTAGACCAATGCAAGGGCTTGGTTCAAATAAAGCTCGTGACGTAAAGTGCTGCCAAACGCACAGAATCACTGAACTACACTGACACCAAGCGTTGAAATAGTTATTTATACATATTACCGTAGTCTTTTAACAATTTAAAAATACTCTTACAACGTACAAAGGCAATATATCCCCATGTCAAGAGATTCAAAACACATCTGAATTGGCTTTTGACCGGGAGGAAAGGATTGGGCACATTGCAAACTCAGTCTCCCTGTCTTCATCTCAAGAAAAACAATGAAAGCATTGGAGTTTAACACACGTTCAATACCGAGGATCACTGCAGGCGATGTATTGAGCAACTCATAAGATATAGATAAAAGCCCCATACCAAAAGCATCACAACCAAAAATCGTATAAGCTGATTAAATGTACAAGTCGAAAAATCTGAAGTTTGTAACATTAATAAATGCAGAGTGATTATATAACCTTTCCAAACTAAATCTATTAAATGTGATGGGAATGTCAAAAAATATAAACTGAGTGGTTGTTTATGAAAAGCACAGTACTTGTGATGTCCATACAAATAATCATACATGTGAATAAAAACAGCAACAAGGACAGTGATAGTTGACGGCTTCATTCAGTAAAAATAATATGTCTAATGAATTCACATCTTTACTCAAAACTTGTTTTACCCTTCATCCTCCAGAAAACACACATGCCATAATCAGCTGTTAAATAATCTTACCTGTTCAGATGTTCTCCTCCTGTCAGGGAGCACTAGTGTATTTGCATGACTGCCCGGGACTATAGTAGATCCTATACTCATTCTGGGTCCAACTAACATGTACCGTTTGTCTCCAGATCTGTACTGGATGCTGTGGCACAGTGTTCCATCATAATTCGTATCTTGCAAATACTTGGAGGTATAGTCGGTTGATTTCGAGCACTGCATTGCAACCAACACGATGATACTGATGAGAAAAAGTGCTGAAACTGAGCCCAAAGTTATCATCAGGTAAAAAGTCACATTATTTTCCTCATCTGCTTTTGCTGAACTTTTCACATCAGAAGCTGCAAAAGCCTCTTTGGGCTCCACAAGTTTGACAATCACAGTAGCTGTTGCTGAGAGTGAAACGTTGCCATTGTCTTTGACCAGTATGACCAGTTTATGCTCAGCCTCGTCTGTCTCTGTGAATGAGCGTAGTGTTCTGATCTGTCCTGTATAGCGGTCCAAACCAAAGAGACTGTGGTCAGTAACTTCCTGCAGTGAAAACAGTAACCAGCCGTTATATCCTATATCAGCGTCATAGGCTCTGACTTTAGTCACCAAGTGTCCTGCGTTCACGTTGCGGGGAATCTCCTCCACACCTTCAGCAGAACCGTTAGAGCTGAGTGGATACAGGATGACTGGAGTGTTGTCGTTCTGATCCAGAATGAACACGTGCACTGTGACATTGCTGCTTAGTGACGGAGTTCCAGAATCTGACGCAACAACGTGGAATTGGAAAGTTTTCAGTGTTTCAAAGTCAAAACTTTTTAGCGCCAAAATGTCTCCATTATCAGAATTTATGTTTAGAAAGGAGGAAACCAGGTTTTCTCTTCCCCTTTCCCTTAAAATGAGATATGAAATAAGAGCATTACTTCCCTCATCGTCATCACGGGCTGTTACTGACAAAATAGGCGCTCCTGGTTTGTTATTCTCAGTTATATAGAAAGTATACGGGTTCTGTGAAAACTCTGGATTATTGTCGTTCACATCTGACACAACAATTTTTATAGTTTTGTCTGATGATAAGGATGGTTCGCCTGCGTCTTTAGCGACAATTGTTACATTATATTGCGATTGCTGCTCGCGATCCAAAAGTGATTTGGTTACCAGAGAATACATGTTATTTTGTAAAGACGGAGTGAGCAGAAAAGGAAGACCTTGGCCTATGTGACACATCACTTTTCCATTGAGACCAGAATCTGAATCCTTAACACTAATCAACGCCACTGTGGTTCCTGGTTTTGAATCTTCCGGGAGTGCACGTGAAAAGGATGTCACCTCAATCTCTGGTGCATTGTCGTTTACGTCAACAATGTTTATAATGACGGTTTTGTCTGTTGTCAGTGTAGCTGCACCTTTGTCTGATGCCTGAATATCAATTTCATACCTGCCACTCTCTTCAAAATCTATGGCCCCTGCTACAGTAATAACTCCAGTCACTGGATTTAAATCAAAACGCTTATGTACACGTGTATCCACGTCATTGCCAAATGAATATACAATTTCACCATTTGAACCTTCATCCATATCTGTCGCATTTACGTAAATAACAGTCGTGCCAAAAGGAGAATTTTCCTTTAAGTCTACATGATATGAGTCCTGGGTGAAAACTGGAGGGTTATCATTAACGTCAGAGACATCAACAGTTATTGTCATGTTACCGGACTTTGGAGGTTTTCCTCCATCAGTGGCTGTCAGAAGCAATACATGGGTCTTAATGGTTTCTCTATCAAGTGTTTTTTGCAGAACTAAACTAGGAGTTTTACGGTCCTCACCACGATCTTTCACCTCCAAACGAAAATGTTCATTATGACTCAACTTATACTGCTGAACGGATAACGAACCACTATCAGCATCACGTGCAGCTTGTAACTGAAATCTTGCTCCTGGTAATGCAGATTCAAAAATCTCTAACATCTTTGTACTTTCGGGGAAGCTCGGTGCGTGGTCGTTTATATCCAGAATCTCCACTGCTACATAGTGTACCTCCAGTGGGTTTTCCAACACGGTTTTTAAGTCGATTACACAAACCTTGCTGCGGTCGCACACTTCCTCTCTGTCAATCTTTCGGTTCACATATAAGATACCGTCGTCCTGATTCACTCGAAAAGGAGGCTCTGTCGAGCTGTAGACAATACGGTACCCCCTCTCCTTCAATGTGCTCTTATCGAGACCTAAATCCTTCGCGATATTTCCAACAACAGTTCCTTCTTTCACTTCCTCAGCGATAGAATATCGGACTTGTCCTGAAGCTCTGGTCCATAACGTAACCAAAACCATCATGTAGATAATCCACTTTCTCCGCTCCCTCCATGTCTGGCACTCTCTTTGTTCCATTACAAGATGAAATATTTAAAATAAAACAGATTTCAAAGAGTTATACCGCCATATTAAATATGACGTTGTTCAGTCACGTTTGTTGTCATAATCTAACCGTTTTCAAAAAAGAGTGTGAGATTTATTTCAAGCTAAATTGTGTGCTCAAACCTTTAGCACGTAAAAGGCTCTGCCAGTGATGGTTTGAGAGGAAGGGGATGGGTCTATTGGCTATGACGAAAAAGTGTGGAAGCATTTTTGTCACTATACCGACACCAAGTGATCGATAATCGTAGTGCAGTCGTGTATTTGAAATAATAGCAACATGTATTAAAAAACGTGTTGTTTGCACTAAAAAGAAAGTTTTTGAAAAAAAATGAAGCAAGCAGCCTGCCATATCATCATTTATAAAGCACAGAGGAGACAACGATACCTATTCACCTTCATTTAACAGATGCATTAACTAGTACTTATCATTCTATTACCGATGTTTGAATGAGAGTGTCTGGTTTTGTCTGGAAAAGAAAGTATGACAGCCATAAAAATGGAGAGGGACTTGCTTAAGACTTGCTTAAGCACCACGGACAGCGACAGTCTATACTCAGCTGACCCACTACAGCATTTTCAGACAAAATATGGATAAGACTGCAATTGCAAAAAAAAAAAAAAAAAAAAAAAAAAAAACTGGCGCATATGGTCTTTAATTTAGAGAGATGAGATGTAATTCAGTCATCTGTCAAACCACTGGGCACCAGACATCGGAAATTGTGATGCAACTAGTTAACTTAATCTCCTTGATTGCATGTATATTACTACTCTGTTTACATCCGCATCTTCTTCGTATTGAAATTTCCTAGTAAACAATTTAGCAAAACAGCAAAAACCAGTTGGCTTTATCAAATGGTTCATTTCATGTGCAAAAGGGGAGTCTGATAATTGTATGAAAGCAATATCTTACCATTTATTTTATAAGACTGCCATAATGAAAGTCAGTAGTGCTTACTTCACAAAATGTATAAATCTGAACTTATGTTATTTGCACTTATGGAAGAGAAAGTAAAAGTATTGATCTTACCTCCTCAGACGCTCTCCTCCTGTCAGGAAGCACTAGTGTATTTGCATGGCTGCCCGGGACTATAGTAGACCCTATACTCATTCTGGGTCCAACTAACATGTACCGTTTGTCTCCAGATCTGTACTGGATGCTGTGACACAGTGTCCCATCATAATTAGTCTCTTGTAGATATTTAGAAGTATAGTCTGTGGATTTTGAGCACTGCATTGCAATCAGCACGATGATACTGATGAGAAAAAGTGCTGAAACTGAGCCCAAAGTTATCATCAGGTAAAAAGTCACATTATTATCCTCATCTGCTTTTGCTGAACTTTTAACATCAGAAGCTGCAAAAGCCTCTTTGGGCTCCACAAGTTTGACAATCACAGTAGCTGTTGCTGAGAGTGAAACGTTGCCATTGTCTTTGACCAGTATGACCAGTTTATGCTCAGCCTCGTCTGTCTCTGTGAATGAGCGAAGTGTTCTGATCTGTCCTGTATAGCGGTCCAAACCAAAGAGACTGTGGTCAGTAACTTCCTGCAGTGAAAACAGTAACCAGCCGTTATATCCTATATCAGCGTCATAGGCTCTGACTTTAGTCACCAAGTGTCCTGCGTTCACGTTGCGGGGAATCTCCTCCACACCTTCAGCAGAACCGTTAGAGCTGACTGGATACAGGATGACTGGAGAGTTGTCGTTCTGATCCAGAATGAACACGTTCACAGTGACGTTGCTGCTTAGTGACGGAGTTCCAGAATCTGACGCAACAACGTAGAAGTGGAAAGTTTTCAGTGTTTCAAAGTCAAAACTTTTTAGCGCCAAAACATCTCCATTATCAGAGTTTATATTAAGAAATGATGTCACTTTATTTTCATGATCTGCATTCCTGAGAATATGATATGAAATACGTGCATTATCTCCGTCATCTCGATCGGACGCTCTTACAGAAAAAACTGGGGCTCCTGGGGGGTTATTTTCGGTGATGTAGAAAGTATAGGGGCTCATTGAAAACTCCGGACTGTTATCATTCGTATCTGACACAAACACGCTTATAGTCTTTTCGGATGTTAAGACTGGTTCACCTGCGTCTTTAGCGATTATTGTAATATCATATCTTGATTGTTGTTCCCTGTCAAGCAGTGATTTAGTCACAACAGCAAACATGTTATCCTGTATTGATGGAGTTAATGTAAAGGGACTTTCTTCGGCGACATAGCTAATTATTTTTCCGTTCATGCCAGAATCTGAATCGGTAATGCTGATGAGAGCTACGGTTGTTCCTGGTCTAGAGTCCTCTGAAACTGCACTTGACAATGATGCCACCTCTATCTCAGGAGCATTATCGTTTGTATCTCCAATTTTAATGATAACACTTTTATCTGTTCTGAATGGAATGATTCCTTTATCAGAGGCCTGAACATCAATGTCATAGCTGTCTTGTTCCTCAAAGTCTACACGACCTTTCACAGTGATTTCCCCAGTAACGGTGTCAATATCAAACAGTTCTCGAATTTTACCTTTTACATCACTGCCAAATGAATAAACCACTTCTCCGTTGGTCCCCTTGTCCAAATCGGTTGCGTTAACTTGGATGACGGTTGTGCCAATTGGGGTGTTCTCTTGTAGCACTGCTGAATATGTGTCTTTGGTGAATACTGGCATATTGTCATTAACATCCAGAACATCTATATATATTTCAACTGTGCCTGTTTTTGGCGGGTTTCCGCCATCTATAGCTGTCAACACCAATTTATGGTTACTTTTTGCCTCTCTGTCTAGTTGCCTCTGTAATTGTAAAATCGGAGTTTTACCATCTCTTCCTCGATCTTTAATCTCTAAACGAAAATGGTCATTCTGACTGATTTTATACTGCTGGACAGAGTTTGTGCCACCATCCGGATCATGGGCATTTTGTAACTGATATTTTGCTCCGGGCAATGCAGACTCTGAGATCTCGAGCCTTTTTGTTTTTTCTGGAAATGTAGGAGAGTGGTCGTTTAAATCCATTATCTCCACGGTGACATAATGTACTTCCAGTGGGTTTTCGAGAACAGTTTTGAGGTTGATTAAACAAATAGTGCTCTCCTTGCATACTTCTTCACGGTCTATTTTATGGTTCGCATAAAGGACTCCGTCATTCTCATTTACCTTAAAAAGTGGTTCACCCGAACCGGACATAATACGAAATCCCCTGCGCTTCATTACATTGAGGTCTATTCCCAAATCTTTAGCTATATTCCCAACAAAACTCCCCTCTTTGAGTTCTTCGGATATAGAGTATCTCAGTTGTGCCGAGGTTGCTGTGAAAAATAAAAGTAAAACCAAACCGTTGAGCAATGGTGATCCAAGTCGCCATGAGTCCCGTCCTCTTTGTTTCATAATTTGAGGTAAATTTACGAATCCAAACGCGTCCATCATTGTCCATTTGTCTAGATTTCTGTGACCATCACAGCAAGAAATAGATTCACCTCTACTGGGACTGTAATTCACAAAATACAAAAACAGTCACGGTGACAAAAACAGTCACCGATTTGTATCCAACAGCTTATTCAGAGTCTGCCAGCGAAATGTTGTCTAACCAGACTGAACGTAGTAGGGGCGGACTGTGTATCCTACTCTGAGACGCTATTAGGCGTTAGAATGATAAGGTACTGCCACCTTGTGAATATGTGTGATGGTGCATTTATTACCTTAAACTGGTCAATACTAAAAATCATACGTCGTATTGCTTTGAGTGAGGAGGTTTCTCTTGTTGGTTAAGTTTAAATCCAATTTCAGTACAATTGCCAAAGACAAAAGTGATCCTTAATATAGTATAAATAGCAAATTTAAATATTTACTCACCTCCTCAGATGTTCTCCTCCTGTCAGGGAGCACTAGTGTATTCGCATGGCTGCCCGGGACTATAGTAGATCCTATACTCATTCTGGGTCCAACTAACATGTACCGTTTGTCTCCAGATCTGTACTGGATGCTGTGACACAGCGTCCCATCATAGTTAGTCTCTTGTAGATATTTAGAAGTATAGTCTGTGGATTTTGAGCACTGCATTGCAATCAGCACGATGATACTGATGAGAAAAAGTGCTGAAACTGAGCCCAAAGTTATCATCAGGTAAAAAGTCACATTATTATCCTCATCTGCTTTTGCTGAACTTTTAACATCAGAAGCTGCAAAAGCCTCTTTGGGCTCCACAAGTTTGACAATCACAGTAGCTGTTGCTGAGAGTGAAACGTTGCCATTGTCTTTGACCAGTATGACCAGTTTATGCTCAGCCTCGTCTGTCTCTGTGAATGAGCGAAGTGTTCTGATCTGTCCTGTATAGCGGTCCAAACCAAAGAGACTGTGGTCAGTAACTTCCTGCAGTGAAAACAGTAACCAGCCGTTATATCCTATATCAGCGTCATAGGCTCTGACTTTAGTCACCAAGTGTCCTGCGTTCACATTGCGGGGAATCTCCTCCACACCTTCAGCAGAACCGTTAGAGCTGAGTGGATACAGGATGACTGGAGTGTTGTCGTTCTGATCCAGAATGAACACGTTCACTGTGACGTTGCTGCTTAGTGACGGAGTTCCAGAATCTGAGGCAACAACGTGGAATTGGAAAGTTTTCAGTGTTTCAAAGTCAAAAATTTTTAGCGCCATAATGTCTCCATTATCAGAGTTTATGTTTAAATTGAATGAATTTATTTTAGTATTTTCTTTTCCATCTCTCAGCATATGATATAAGATACGAGAATTATCGCCCTCGTCATGGTCTGATGCCCTCACAGAAAACAGTGAAGCTCCTGGAGAGTTGTTCTCTGTAACATAATATGTGTAAGGGCTCGCTGAAAACTCTGGACTGTTGTCATTCACATCTGATATAACAATAGTAATGCTTTTTTCAGAAGACAACGATGGTACACCTGCATCTTTCGCAACAATTGTAACATCATATATGGATTGCTTCTCTCTATCCAAAGGCGATTTCGTGACTATAGAATACATGTTATCCTGCGTTGAAGGCGATAATGTGAAAGGGACATCCTCATTAAATGAGCAAATAACTTTCCCGTTAAGACCAGAGTCTTTATCAAAGACACTGATTAATGCCACAGTGGTTCCCAGTCTTGCATCCTCTGGTATTGCCCTTGAAAATGACGTAACCTCTATCTGCGGGGTGTTATCATTCAAATCAACAATGTTCACAGACACACTTTTATCTGTCCTTAAAGGAGCGGATCCTTTATCAGACGCCTGTATATCAATCTCATAACTTTCCTCTGATTCAAAGTCTATCAGATCTTGAACAATGATTTCACCTGTATTTGAATCTACACGAAACAGTTCACGTATTCTGCTATTCACATTTTTTCCTAACGAATAGATAATCTCACCATTGGATCCTTCGTCTAAATCAGAGGCATTAACTTGTATAATTGTTGTGCCAATTGGAGCATTTTCTTCTAAACGCACTGAGTACGTGTCTTCGTTGAAAACAGGCATATTATCATTAACATCTAAAACGTCAACAAACAGCTGAGTTGTTCCAGATTTACTTGGTTTGCCTCCATCAATAGCTGTGAGAAGCAATTTATGGCTTTTCTTTGTTTCCCTATCTAGCGTCTTCAGTAAAACTAATATTGGTATTTTCCCATCTTTTCCACGTTCTTTGACTTCTAAACGAAAATGATCATTAGGACTGAGTTTATATTCCTGGACTGACAACTGACTAACATCTGGGTCGTGTGCTGCTTGCAGGTGTAGGCGCAAACCTGGTAAAACTGATTCTGAAATTTCGAGCCGCGACTCTTTCGTGGAGAAGCTGGGAGAATGGTCGTTCACATCCAGCACCTCTACGGTCACATAATGAATTTCAAGAGGGTTTTCGAGCACAGTTTTTAGGTTGATGAAGCACACACTGCTCCGTTCACAGACCTTCTCTCTGTCAATTATTCGGTCCACATACAATATCCCATCATTCTGGTTTACATGAAAAAATGACTCTGTTGAACCCTCAACAATACGACATCCTCGCTCTTTCAGAGCGTTCATCTCTAATCCCAAATCCTTGGCTATATTCCCAACAACAGTTCCTTCTTTAACTTCCTCGGCGATGGAATATCTGATCTGCGCCGAAGCTCTGCTCCACTGCAAAATTAATAAAACAATGAAAGCAATCCCCCGCCATTGCTCTCTCGATGCTCCATGTCTTTTCTGCTCCATAACGAGCAGATAAAAATTAATCCCAATAATTCAGAATAACGACTCCGTGATACAATGAAAAAATAGATGCGCCTAAAATATCATAAACAGTCTGCAGCGTTTTATCCAAATCGCAGATGCCTAATATTCGCTGTGAGTGTAAAGGATGCATCCAGTTATAAAATGTGAAAACCCATCCCACAAAGGGGAGGACCCTTATCTGTAACAAAAGGCTTCTCTTCAAACACTTTTCTGCTCACATACTGACACCAAGTGATCACTTTCCAGTTAGTTTGTTCCTCCACAAATATGACAGATTTTGAAATAATACTGGTGATTTCACCAAGATGCATACACAGTGTAAAAACTATATATTGTGGCTTTATAACACAATCAAACAAAGGTCAAAGCAGTTTCAGCACAATGGATAGCGACATTGTGACTCAGACTCGAGCCATTCCCCCAAAATAGACATCTCTACCTCACAAAAAGAAAAAAAAGGGTATTTGCTATTAATACCCTAAAAAAGCCAATTAAGCCGTTAAAATAAACCACCTTACCTCTTCAGATGTTCTCCTCCTGTCAGGGAGCACTAGTGTATTTGCATGGCTTCCCGGAACTATAGTAGATCCTATACTCATTCTGGGTCCAACTAGCATGTACCGTTTGTCTCCAGATCTGTACTGGATGCTGTGACACAGTGTCCCATCATAATTAGTCTCTTGTAGATATTTAGAAGTATAGTCTGTGGATTTTGAGCACTGCATTGCAATCAGCACGATGACACTGATGAGAAAAAGTGCTGAAACTGAGCCCAAAGTTATCATCAGGTAAAAAGTCACATTATTATCCTCATCTGCTTTTGCTGAACTTTTAACATCAGAAGCTGCAAAAGCCTCTTTGGGCTCCACAAGTTTGACAATCACAGTAGCTGTTGCTGAGAGTGAAACGTTGCCATTGTCTTTGACAAGTATGACCAGTTTATGCTCAGCCTCGTCCGTCTCTGTGAATGAGCGAAGTGTTCTGATCTGTCCTGTATAGCGGTCCAAACCAAAGAGACTGTGGTCAGTAACTTCCTGCAGTGAAAACAGTAACCAGCCGTTATATCCTATATCAGCGTCATAGGCTCTGACTTTAGTCACCAAGTGTCCTGCGTTCACATTGCGGGGAATCTCCTCCACACCTTCAGCAGAACCGTTGGAGCTGAGTGGATAAAGGATGACTGGAGCGTTGTCGTTCTGATCCAGAATGAACACGTTCACTGTGACGTTGCTGCTTAGTGACGGAGTTCCAGAATCTGACGCAACAACGTGGAAGTGGAAAGTTTTCACTGTTTCAAAGTCAAAACTCTTTAGTGCTGAAATCTGTCCATTATCTGAATTAATGTTTAGGAAAGATGGCGTTAAATCATTTTCACTCCCTCCTCTAAGAATGTGATATGTAACCGCTGCATTTTCATTAATATCGTTGTCTGTTGCGCTTATAGAGAATATGGACTTTCCGGCAACGTTATTTTCTACCAGGTAAAAATGTATTGGACTTTGGTCGAAATGTGGACTGTTGTCATTTACATCTGATATCTGAATGTTCAGCGTTTTAAATGTAGATAAAGGAGGTTCACCGCAGTCGGTGGCTTTTATTGTTATTTCATACTGTTGCACCTGCTCTCGATCCAAGAATTCCTTAGTAACAATTGAATAGATATTTTCCTTATATGAGGGCTTTAATTCAAAAGGGACATCATCGATTATGTGTAAAATAACTTTTCCATTAACACCAGAATCTTTATCCTTCACACTAATAAGTGAAATAACTGTGCCAGGCTTTGAACCTTCAGACACTTTATTTGACAGTGATGTTACTTCTATTTCCGGTAGATTATCATTTATGTCTTTAATCTTTATAATGACTCTACACCTTCCTGTTAATGGAGGCTGTCCTTTATCAGATGCTTGAACTTCTAGTTTATAAATCTCAGATTCCTCAAAATCCAATGACCCTTTCAATTTAACTTGTCCACTTAAACTATCCAATTCAAATATCTCGTAGACTTTACGTGCCAGTGTTTTGCTGAGACTGTACTCTATTTCACCATTACTACCTTCGTCTGGATCTGTTGCATTCACTTTTGTAACCACAACGCCAACTGACATGTTTTCTTCAATTTCAGTTTGGTAAGTATCCTGACTAAATATTGGACGGTTGTCATTACTATCAAGAACGATAATCGAAACATTCAGTGTGCCTGATCTTGGAGGTTTACCTCCATCAACTACCGTAACAAATAACAAGTGTTTATCCTTTTGTTCTCTGTCCAACGACTTCTTCAGCACTAAAAATGGTATTTTATCTTCATCACTTTGACTAATATCTATTTCAAAATGATCATTTGATGTTAATATGTATGTGCGGATAGAGTTCATTCCAGCATCCGGATCATGGGCCGCATGTAGTTCGTATCGTGTTCCCGGAGATGACAGTTCTCCTATTTCAAAAGTCTGCACCTTTTCGGGAAAACTAGGCGAGTGATCATTAACATCAGTGATTTCTATAACAACATGGTGCATTTCCAAAGGATTTTCAACGAGGATTTTTAGCTCCATTAAACACGCACCAATACCGTGACAGAGGTCCTCCCTGTCGATTTTCTTACTAACCTGTAAAGCACCACTGTCGGGGTTTACCTCAAAAAATGTCTCCTTAGATCCAGACACAACACGGAAACGTCGATCAGCCAAAGAAGTTTTTTCCAGACCAAGATCCTTGGCAACATTTCCAACAACAGTTCCTTCTTTCACCTCCTCTGGAATAGAGTACCTCAATTCTGCCACAGCCTGCTCTCCGAAAAACACCAACAAACACACATGAAAAGCAAACCAACAGTAGTCCCGCGATGGTCTTTTGCTCTCCATCGTTATCCAACGACATAAACAGGCAGGAGCCTTTCCCTTGGATGATCAGTTCTTTGTATCCGAACACCACACTGTCTTATCTGACGGCGGTTCTCACATCAAATGCATGATCTGCTGTGAGGTACAAACAAAAGCTTTGTTAGGGGAGGGACGACCTCCTTTATGTCGTCGTTGATGTTACAGTGACACCAGGAGGACAATATTCCATATTATTCTAACCCGTTTAAAAGTTAATTCCTTTTGCAGAGTACTATGTTTTGTCAGCAAACTTACTAGGAGAGATGAAGATAAAAGTGGAGAAACAGTTTTATCTATATACTTAAAGCTGTTTGAAGTAGCAGTATTTTATTTCCATGATCTAAACAGCTAAGTCGCTATATTGTTGTCCAAATTAAGTGCTCTGAAGAAGTATTCGTTTTTACCATGTTTTTATGACATTACATTACCTCTATTTTTACTGGCAACAGTGAAGCCGCTGAATTTCAGCATCTTGGACAGCAGTGGTGCTGCTTCACACAACCGATCACCTTAACCAAGGAGCTCTGTGGTAAACTATCAAGCCCGCTGTAAGATACTCAAGCAATTACGTAGCAAGTGTAGGTAGAACGTGGAATTAGGTAGGAAATGTAATTGGCTATGTTCTTTTGTGGCCATTTGTGGAAGAAGGTAGGTACATTTTCCTAGACTTAATTTTATTCTTTATTTTGAAATAGGAGACAATTGATTATATACCAACCATTAATTACACTCTACTATTAGTTTATAAGATAAGTCTTATTCTTTATATATATAAAATTTTATAATTTTTCTGGCAATCATAATCGCCATGAGAATATATAAATTCTTACAGGAAAGATAAACCATATGGCTAAGCAATATCAGAAAGGGAAATTATGGCTGATCAAGACGATTAGCATACTAACAACTCTTGTCATGGACACAGCCGAACAACACTAATTTGTGACAACAGAACAATAACACGGGCAAAAGAAAATGAAATATTGTGACAAAGGTCCAGAAAAAGAAAGTCACACTCCGTCCACATATTATGATGTTCGTAAGTGTTTTTTTTTTAATTCTGCAGTTGATGTTCGAGTTTATGAAAAGGTTTTGGACATATGGTAGTCCAACTTTGTCCACCACCACAGACAAAAGTGTTTGCTCGTAAACAAAGCACAGCATTTTTAAAGTCTTACCTCTATAGATGTTCTTCTCCTGTCAGGCATCACCAGGGTATTTGCATGACTTCCAGGGACTATAGTAGATCCTATACTCATTCTGGGTCCAACTAACATGTAGCGTTTGTCTCCAGATCTGTACTGAATGCTGTGACACAGTGTTCCATCATAATTAGTCTCTTGTAGATATTTAGAAGTATAGTCCGTGGATTTTGAGCACTGCATTGCAATCAGCACGATGATACTGATGAGAAAAAGTGCTGAAACTGAGCCCAAAGTTATCATCAGGTAAAAAGTCACATTATTATCCTCATCTGCTTTTGCTGAACTTTTCACATCAGAATCTGCAAAAGCCTCTTTGGGCTCCACAAGTTTGACAATCACAGTAGCTGTTGCTGAGAGTGAAACGTTGCCATTGTCTTTGACCAGTATGACCAGTTTATGCTCAGCCTCGTCTGTCTCTGTGAATGAGCGAAGTGTTCTGATCTGTCCTGTATAGCGGTCCAAACCAAAGAGACTGTGGTCAGTAACTTCCTGCAGTGAAAACAGTAACCAGCCGTTATATCCTATATCAGCGTCATAGGCTCTGACTTTAGTCACCAAGTGTCCTGCGTTCACGTTGCGGGGAATCTCCTCCACACCTTCAGCAGAACCGTTAGAGCTCAGTGGATAAAGGATGACTGGAGCGTTGTCGTTCTGATCCAGAATGAACACGTTCACTGTCACGTTGCTGCTTAGTGACGGAGTTCCAGAATCTGACGCAACAACGTGGAATTTGAAAGTTTTCAATGTTTCAAAGTCAAAACTTTTCAGCGCCAAAATGTCTCCATTTTCAGAGTTTATGTTTAGAAATGAGGTCACTTTACTATCTTCGTTTCCTTCTCTGAGGATATTATAGGATAGGAGAGCATTAGCTCCTTCATCACAATCAGAGGCGATTAAAGAAAATACCGACACTCCTGGAGGATTATTTTCAGTAACATAAAAATTATATCGTCTCATCGAAAATTCTGGACTGTTGTCGTTTACATCGGATACAGCAACTCTTAATGTTTTTTCAGATGTTAAGGCTGGTTCACCTGCATCTTTCGCTATTACTGTAACATCATAAATTGATTTGTTTTCCCTGTCGAGCTGTGTCTTTGTCACTACAGCGTACATGTTGTCTTGTATTGAAGGCGTCAGTGTGAAAGGAACATCGCCTTTTACAAAGCTGATAACTTTTCCGTTCACTCCAGAATCCAGATCGGTGATACTAAGAAGTGCTACCGTGGTTCCTGGTCTAGAATCCTCTGATATTTTGTTAGACAGCGACGTTACGTCAATTACAGGTGCATTGTCATTTATGTCTTTAATATTTACAGACACGCTTTTATCAGTTCTAAATGGAACAGCACCGCTGTCAGATGCTTGAATATCTATCTCATAACTGTCATCCACTTCATGGTCTAATTGTCCTTTCACAGTTATTTCACCTGTGGTCGGGTCGACATCAAACAGTTTGCGCACCTTGCTATTTACATTACCAAATGAATAGCTAACTTCTCCGTTTAATCCTTCGTCTAAATCTGTGGCGTTTACTCGTATGACTATTGTGCCTAGGGGTGAATTCTCATTTATCTCTGCAGAATAGACATCTTTTATAAAAACTGGAGCATTGTCATTCACATCTAAAACATCTATTAATATCTCCATGGTCCCTGATTTCGGGGGTTTCCCCCCATCCTGAGCTGTAAGCAGTAGTGTATGGCTGCTAAATGCTTCTCTGTCTAATGGGCTTTGTAATTGTAAAATAGGCACTTTGCCATCTTTCCCGCGATCTTTCACTTCCAAACGAAAATTATTATTCGGACTTAGTTTATACTGTTGAATGGAATTAACGCCGCCATCGGGATCGAGAGCAGCATGCAGCTGAAATCTTGTTCCCGGTAAAGTGGACTCTGAAATCTCTAGCCTTTTGTTGTTCTCTGGGAAAGAGGGCGAATGGTCATTTACGTCTAAAACCTCTACTGCAACATAATGGATCTCGAGTGGGTTCTCTAGCACACTTTTAACGTTTATCAAACACACAACGGTCCGCTGGCATATTTCCTCTCGGTCAATTTTACGATTTACGTATAAAATCCCGTCATTTTGGTTTACCTGGAAAAGGGGTTCAGTGGAGCCAGAAACAATGCGAAATCCCCTTGCTTTTAATATATTTGGATCAATCCCCAAGTCCTTTGCTATATTCCCAACAGCAGTTCCTTCCTTGATCTCTTCTGATATAGTATATCGTATCTGTCCCAAGGCCGTGCCTAAAATCAAAGTAAAAGCCAATGCGAAGGTAAGCCATTTTCTGCCTTGTCGCCAGGAGTGCTGTCCGCTTTGTTCCATTGTCTGATGTCAGTGGATAAATTCAGCAAATATCAAGTGATGTAAATATTGTTTACATATCCACTAACTGAAGAAAGAAGCTACCTCTTACGTTCGGTTACTATGGAGGAGAAAATCGTTAAAATAAACACTATCGGAGGATAATGCTGCTCTCTTGAATGCTTCAGAGGCAGTCTCACAGACCCACATATAGTGAACTGCGTGATGCGTATTCCTTGTTGTTTAGTGCCACCATGCGATTCAATTAAAAAAAAATGTTTTGTTCGCCCTCCTATAATCTCATCACCAAACACTGTATATGAAGAGGTGATTCACTGGTCATCTCACATGACAATATGTTATTAAGACTCACGCATTAGAAACACTTAATTACAACTTGTGTGTATTTCTTTTGTTCACTTTATAGGAGGGATTCATTCCATTGTCATATTTAAGCATGAAATGCAACAATTCCAGCAAAAACAGTTTATAAAAAATATTGACCATCAAGCTCCCATTACATAGCCAGCTAGGAGAAATGCAAAATAATCAATATTGACACTTAATGTTGAAATCATGTTAAACCACTTAAAATGTATTACTTGTATAAATAATAATCTTTCATGGCACTGGATATTTGATATGTGGATATGAATGTAAATGAGATTGTGTAATCGTAACTGCAAAACAGCGTGAGTGATAGCATTTAAACATGATCTTACCTCTTCAGATGTTCTCCTCCTGTCAGGGAGCACTAGTGTGTTTGCATGACTGCCCGGGACTATAGTAGATCCTATACTCATTCTGGGTCCAACTAACATGTACCGTTTGTCTCCAGATCTGTACTGGATGCTGTGACACAGTGTCCCATCATAATTAGTCTCTTGTAGATATTTAGAAGTATAGTCTGTGGATTTTGAGCACTGCATTGCAATCAGCACGATGACACTGATGAGAAAAAGTGCTGAAACTGAGCCCAAAGTTATCATCAGGTAAAAAGTCACATTATTTTCCTCATCTGCTTTTGCTGAACTTTTCACATCAGAAGCTGCAAAAGCCTCTTTGGGCTCCACAAGTTTGACAATCACAGTAGCTGTTGCTGAGAGTGAAACGTTGCCATTGTCTTTGACCAGTATGACCAGTTTATGCTCAGCCTCGTCTGTCTCTGTGAATGAGCGAAGTGTTCTGATCTGTCCTGTATAGCGGTCCAAACCAAAGAGACTGTGGTCAGTAACTTCCTGCAGTGAAAACAGTAACCAGCCGTTATATCCTATATCAGCGTCATAGGCTCTGACTTTAGTCACCAAGTGTCCTGCGTTCACGTTGCGGGGAATCTCCTCCACACCTTCAGCAGAACCGTTGGAGCTGAGTGGATACAGGATGACTGGAGCGTTGTCGTTCTGATCCAGAATGAACACGTTCACAGTGACGTTGCTGCTTAGTGACGGAGTTCCAGAATCTGACGCAACAACGTGGAACTGGAAAGTTTTCAGTGTTTCAAAGTCAAAACTTTTTAGGGATGAAATGTGTCCATTGTCAGGATTTATATTAAGGAAAGACCTTATGTCATTTTGAGTCCCTTCTCTTATAATATGGTAAGAAACTGCTGCATTGTCATTCAAGTCACTGTCTGTTGCGCTTACAGAGAATATTGACTTTCCGGCAACATTATTTTCTGCAAGATAAACTTCTAAAATGGTTTGTTCGAAATTTGGACTGTTGTCATTTACGTCTGATATCTGAATGTTCAGAGTTTTAAAGGTAGATAAGGGAGGCTCACCACAGTCGGTAGCTTTTATTAATATTTCGTACTGTGGCACCTGCTCTCGATCCAAAAAATCTTTAGTAACAACTGAATACGTGTTCTCTTTATAGGACGGCTTTAATTCAAAAGGCACGTCATTGACAATGTGTGAAATAGTTTTTCCATTCACACCGGAGTCTTTATCTCGCACACTAAGAAGTGAAATAGCTGTGCCAGGCTTTGAGTCTTCAGACACTGTATTTGACAGTGATGTAACTTCTATTTCCGGCAGATTATCGTTGACATCTTTTATTTTTACAATGACCCTACACTCACCTGTCAGTGGAGGTGTTCCTTTATCTGATGCCTCAACGTCCAGTTCATATAAGTCGTTTTCTTCATAGTCCACTACTCCTTTTACCCTAATTTCTCCAGTTAATTTGTCCAGTACAAAAATATCATAGACTTCACGCCTTAAGGTTTTTCCAAAGCTGTATTCAATTTGTCCATTCGTGTCTTCATCTGGATCCGTGGCATTCATTCTAAATACAAAAGTGCCAACTAGAACGTTTTCTTGTAGTTCAGTTTGGTAAATCTCCTGACTAAATATCGGACGATTGTCATTACTGTCAAGAACAATAATGGAAACATTCAGTGTGCCTGTTCTTGGAGGTTTGCCTCCATCAACTGCTGTGACAAGTAGCGCGTGTTTGTTCTTTTGTTCTCTGTCTAATGACTTCTTAAGGACTAAAAATGGTATTTTACCCGCATCACTTTGACGGATATTTACTTCAAAATGTTCATTTGACGTTAAAGTGTATGTACGAATGGAGTTAATTCCAGCATCAGGGTCGCGAGCAGTGTGCAACTGAAATCGCTTTCCTGGCAACGTATGTTCTGCTATTTCAAATGTCTGTTCCTTTTCAGGAAAAGCGGGAGAGTGATCATTTACATCAGTAATTTCTACAACTACATAGTGCATTTCCAAAGGGTTTTCAACAAGGATTTTCAGCTCCATTAGACAGGCACCGCTGCCTTGACAGAGCTCTTCTCTGTCAATTTGATTATGGACGTACAACGCCCCATTATGCTGGTTTACCTCAAAAATAGCGTCTTTACTTCCAGCTACAACACGGAACCGTCGATCAATCAGAGAAGTGATGTCAAGCCCAAGGTCCTTCGCAACGTTTCCAACAACAGTTCCGTCTTTCACCTCCTCTGGAACAGAGTACCTAATCTGAGCAAAAACTTGATTTCCGAAAATCAGCAGTAGAGCTCCACAAAAAGCAAAGCAAGAGCAGTTCCTTGTTGGAGTTTTTGTATCCGATCCCATTCTTATATAACAATACATTGACATCCAAGAGCCTATTAATGCGATAAACAATTATTTATGTCAGTCCGCCGACTCTGGCATTTTTACAGAACACAGACGTGATTTCATCGGCTGGCCTGCTTGATTGAAGTGCTTCCTTTGCTCTAGTAAGACGACAAACAAAAGGTTCATGAGGGGAGGGATAAAGTCGTTTACCGATTTAATAGTGACACCCAGAGGTTAGTGCTGCAAACTGATTTTATCACATTTTTAAAATGTTACTTCAGCAGTGACAACAGAAACTGAGGTGTGACGGGCCTTGACAAACCAACAAAATTTCAGCATTTTAACATTGTTCTAGCTTCTCTCTCTTTCTCTCTGCCTATTCTATATGATTTGAAGCTACCAAACGGTTTGTTGATTTAACATCGCTTTACTGGCTTGACCTGTTCATGTCTTTCAGTACCATGGACAGCAATCACAAGCAATCTCCCTCTAATAACAAAAGTAGTTAAAACAGTTTTAAAACAAGTAAGTCAAAACTTCTCAGTTCATCACATCTTTTTAACATCGAAAACATCTTCAACATCTGCACCATGGACAGCAATCACAAGTAGTCACACTCACAATAACAAACGTAGTTCACTACTAAAACAACAAAGCCATACATTCTGCTCAAAACAGAAACACTGCAACTTCTTCCAACTTTTTAGTCAATAATAGGTCAGAAGTTGGAATGTTTTGGGATCCAACTGTCAAAAAAAAATCACTGCCCTACAGTCCTAAATACAGACTATAATTACTCTGATTTGCAGCGAATCTTTATTTTCACAACCGCAAACAATGGACACAATCAGATACTGTCCATGAAGACCGTCCTCTTTACAAAGGATGAGCTCTTTTATGCTTATCACATTTGTAAGTATTCATCAAGGCTGAGTGTGCATGTGCACAACCAACACACAGTGCAGAGTGGCTATTGTAGACAGAGTTATCTATTCATGTCCAACATTTTGCTTGTTCGACCCTCCATTTTTACATGTTTTACTATGCAACCAAGCACTTTGCATGATAAATAAGACAATAAAAGATAAAATAAACTCAAGCAGTCCTATTAGAATACATAGGAGAAAGCAACACATTTTGTAAGACTTTAGAAACAAGATGAAAAGAAAACTTCGAGCACAACACAAAGAAAAAACCTGTATGCTTGTAATATTATTGTATATAACTTTGTCCAAATGATAAGCATTAAACTTCTAATCAGACTTGTGAAGTGGTAGAGATCATGTTGAGTTGTTTGGTATTGTTCTGTGAACTAGGGGCTTTAGAAGGATAAAGAAATGGAAGCATGATGCGTATAACCATGCTATATATCATATAGTTTTCAAGCTCTTACCTCTCCAGATGTTCTCCTGTCAGGGAGCACAAGTGTATTTGCATGACTGCCCGGGACTATAGTAGATCCTATACTCATTCTGGGTCCAACTAACATGTACCGTTTGTCTCCAGATCTGTACTGGATGCTGTGACACAGTGTCCCGCCATAGTTAGTCTCTTGTAGATATTTAGAAGTATAGTCTGTGGATTTTGAGCACTGCATTGCAATCAGCACGATGATACTGATGAGAAAAAGTGCTGAAACTGAGCCCAAAGTTATCATCAGGTAAAAAGTCACATTATTATCTTCATCCGCTTTTGCTGAACTTTTCACATCAGAAGCTGCAAAAGCCTCTTTGGGCTCCACAAGTTTGACAATCACAGTAGCTGTTGCTGAGAGAGAAACGTTCCCATTGTCTTTGACCAGTATGACCAGTTTATGCTCAGCCTCGTCTGTCTCTGTGAATGAGCGAAGTGTTCTGATCTGTCCTGTATAGCGGTCCAAACCAAAGAGACTGTGGTCAGTAACTTCCTGCAGTGAAAACAGTAACCAGCCGTTATATCCTATATCAGCGTCATAGGCTCTGACTTTAGTCACCAAGTGTCCTGCGTTCACGTTGCGGGGAATCTCCTCCACACCTTCAGCTGAACCGTTAGAGCTGAGTGGATACAGGATGACTGGAACGTTGTCGTTCTGATCCAGAATGAACACGTTCACAGTGACGTTGCTGCTTAGTGACGGAGTTCCAGAATCTGACGCAACAACGTGGAATTGGAAAGTTTTCAGTGTTTCAAAGTCAAAACTTTTTAGTGCAATTATGTGTCCATTACTGGGATTTACATCGAGAAAAGACAGAATTTCATTCTGATTATCTCCTCTGACAATATCGTAAGAGATAACTGCGTTGTCGTCCACATCTTTGTCCGTTGCACTTACAGAGAACAGTGACTTTCCAGCAATGTTATTTTCTGAAATGTAAAATTGTAATGGATTTAGGGAGAATTGTGGACTGTTGTCATTTATGTCCGATATTTCAATACTCAGGGTTTTATAAGTAGACAAAGGAGGCTCACCACAGTCTATGGCTTTTATTGTTATTTCATAATGTGACACCTCCTCTCGATCCAAAAACCACTTAGTAACCACTGAATATATATGTTCCTTATAGGAGGGTTTTAATTCGAACGGCATGTCTGAGGTAATGCTTGAAATTATTTTTCCATTGACTCCGGAGTCTTTATCTATTACACTGAGGAGTGAAATAACTGTTCCAGGCTTTGAGCCTTCAGACACTGTATCTGACAATGATGTGACTTCTATTTCCGGCGGATTATCATTGATGTCTTTTATTTTTATAATGACCCTACACTCACCTTTCAATGGAGGTGTTCCTTTATCTGATGCTTCAACATCGAGTTTGTAGATGTCGTTTTCTTCATAGTCTACCACTCCTTTTACTCTAATCTCTCCGGTTAATTTGTTCAATTCGAAAAGGTCATATACTCTTCTCCTTAAGGTTTTTGCAAGGTTGTATTCAATATCCCCGTTCGCGCCTTCATCTGGATCAGTTGCATTCATTAGAAATATTGATGTGCCAATTGGAACATTTTCCTGTATGGTAATTTGGTAAATATCCTGAATAAATGTTGGACGGTTGTCGTTAATATCAAGAACTTCAATGGAAACATTTAGTGTTCCTGATTTTTGAGGCTTTCCGCCATCAACTGCTGTAACCAGTAGTGAATGTTTGTACTTTTGTTCTCTGTCTAATGGCTTCTTCAGCACTAAGAATGGTATTTTTTCCTCATCGCTTTGACGGATATCTATTTCAAAGTGATCGTTTGACGTTAAAGTGTATGTACGAATAGAGTTAATTCCAGCATCGGGGTCACGAGCAGTGTGCAGCTGAAATCGCCTTCCTGGCAATATATGTTCGGCTATTTCAAATGTCTGTTCCTTTTCAGGAAAAGCGGGAGAGTGATCATTTACATCAGTAATTTCTACAACTACATAGTGCATTTCCAAAGGGTTTTCAACAAGGATTTTCAGCTCCATTAGACAGGCACCGCTGCCTTGACAGAGCTCCTCTCTGTCGATATTCTTATGGACATGTAGGGCTCCATTGGCCTGGTTTACCTCAAAGAAGGCGTCCTTAGTTCTTGAAACAACACGGAACCGTCGATCAATCAAAGAAGTGATGTCAAGCCCAAGATCCTTTGCAATATTTCCAACAATAGTTCCGTCGTTAACCTCCTCTGGAACAGAGTACCTGATCTGAGCAAAAGTCTGATTCCCGAAAAACATTAGAAGGACCAAATAAAAAGCCAACCAGGAGCTTTCCATCATTTGAATTTTTCTATCGGTCTCCATGGTTATCCAACAACATATACACAGGCAGGAGCCTTTTAATGCGATAAACAATTATTTATGTCCAACCCGCTGAACATAGCATATTTGTAAAACGCAAAGCGTCCATCCGCCGGTGTGCTTCGTTCGAATGCCTTCTTTGCTTTAGTCAGTAGGAAACAAAAGCCTTGTAAGGGGAGGGACAAAGGCGTCCTTGGTTTAGCGATGTAATGGTGACACCCAGAGGTAATTGCTGAGGGTAAACCTGACGAGATGTGCTTTTCAGTTTTCTAAAAAAAAGTCCCCGGAAAACTAACTAAAAACAAAACAATTCCAACATAATTTATTTTTATAATTGTTATCAATTACCTATTTCTCTCTTCATCTCCCTGAAAAATCAAACAGACTGATGCTTTGCACTTTTATAGAGGCTCATTTATCGCCAATATTCACTTTTGTTACTGGGTTGTGGAAGCAACACTGTTCAATATGTTTTTGGTTTTTTACCATTGCTTATCTGACATGTTCGTGTCTGTAAGCATCATGTACAGACATCACGAGTAGTCGCTCCCTCTAATAGCAAAAGTAGTCCTGTGTTAAAACAACTAAGTCAGAATATTCAGTTCTTTAAAATTTCCAAACTTTTTAGTCAATTGGTTAGGAGGTGGAGAGTTGTGAACAGACTATAATTAATCTATTTTGCTGAGTATATTTACTTGCCCTGTACTGTCGATCACTCTATATGATGAATACGACGATAAAATTAAAAAGAAACTCAAACAAGCCCATTAAAGTTTGGCACAAGTAGCAAGACGTAAAGTACTAGTGAAAACCTTTGACTGGTACAGAATGCCTTTTTTTAGTTTGTTGTGAGTTACATTGAGCACAGTCCTCTGTGCAAAATGATTTAGAAACATGAAAAACAACCATATTGAATAAGAATGTTCTATGGTCTTACCTCTCCAGATGCTCCTCTCCTGTCAGGGAGCACTAGTGTATTTGCATGGCTGCCCGGGACTATAGTAGATCCAATACTCATTCTGGGTCCAACTAACATGTACCGTTTGTCTCCAGATCTGTACTGAATGCTGTGACACAGTGTCCCATCATAATTAGTCTCTTGTAGATATTTAGAAGTATACTCTGTGGATTTTGAGCACTGCATTGCAATCAGCACGATGATACTGATGAGAAAAAGTGCTGAAACTGAGCCCAAAGTTATCATCAGGTAAAGTGTCACATTATTATCTTCATCTGCTTTTGCTGAACTTTTCACATCAGAAGCTGCAAAAGCCTCTTTGGGCTCCACAAGTTTGACAATCACAGTAGCTGTTGCTGAGAGTGAAACGTTCCCATTGTCTTTGACAAGTATGATCAGTTTATGCTCAGCCTCGTCTGTCTCTGTGAATGAGCGAAGTGTTCTGATCTGTCCTGTATAGCGGTCCAAACCAAAGAGACTGTGGTCAGTAATTTCCTGCAGTGAAAACAGTAACCAGCCGTTATATCCTATATCAGCGTCATAGGCTCTTACTTTAGTCACCAAGTGTCCTGCGTTCACGTTGCGGGGAATCTCCTCCACACCTTCAGCAGAGCCGTTAGAGCTGACTGGATACAGGATGACTGGAGCGTTGTCGTTCTGGTCCAGAATGAACACGTTCACTGTGACGTTGCTACTTAGTGACGGAGTTCCAGAATCTGACGCAACAACTTTGAACCGGAAAGTTTTCAGAGTTTCAAAGTCAAAACTTCTCAAGGCTGAAATGTGTCCGTTCTCAGAATTTATATTCAGAAAAGATGCCATATCATTATGACCGCTTTCCCCTCTAATTATACTATAGGACACTGCAGCATTTTCGTTTAAGTCTTTATCAAATGCGTTCACAGAAAATATTGATGTGCCAGGAGCATTGTTTTCAATTAAATATAACTCCAGGGGACTGTGTGAGAACTCTGGGATGTTATCATTGACATCTGACACCTGAATACTCAAAGTTTTGAATGTGGAAAGAGGAGGCTCTCCACAGTCGGTAGCTGTTATTGAAATGTCATAATATGACACCGTTTCCCTGTCCAATATTTCTTTTGTCACCAATGAATACATATTTTCTTTAAATGACGGTTTTAATTCAAATGGTACATTCTCCGTCAGACTGCATATGACTTTACCATTCAGGCCCGAATCAACATCTGTAACACTGATAAGAGAAATCACGGTCCCATGTTTAGAATCTTCTGGGACCATGTTGGATATTGATGTCACTTCTATTTCAGGTTTATTGTCATTGATATCTTGAATTTTTAACAAGACTCTACAGTCCGTTGTCATCGGCGGCTGACCTTTGTCAGAGGCTTGGACGTCTAACTTGAAAACATCAGCTGTCTCATAGTCAATTTGTCCCTTAACTCGAATTTCGCCTGTATTTCTGTCTAGGCTGAACAGCTCCAACACCTTGGAATTCATGTCACCCCCGAAGGCATACTCTACGTCCCCATTAGTTCCTTCGTCCAGATCAGTTGCTTGCACTTTTATTACAATTGTATCTAAAGCAACATTTTCTTGTAACATCACAGAATAAACCTCTTTCGAAAAAGTAGGTCTGTTGTCATTGATGTCAAGAACCTTTATTGTAATATTAAGATTTGCAGATTTTGGTGGTGTCCCTCCATCTATTGCAGTTAAAATCAGGCTATGGTTTGTTTTCTGCTCTCTGTCCAAGTGTCTCTGTAACATTAAGAAAGGAATTTTATCCTCTCCCCTATCTCTAATTTCTAAATGAAAATTATCATTTTGACTAAGTTTATAGCGCTGTATGGAATTTATTCCAACATCGGGATCACGTGCGCCTGGTAACTGAAACCGTGCTCCTGGTAACGTCGTTTCTGCTATTTCAATTACCTTTTCTTTCTCTGCAAAACTCGGTACGTGGTCGTTAGCATCCGTTATTTCCACTGTGACATAGTGGATTTCAAGTGGATTTTCAACAACGATTTTCACATCTATTAAACAGGCTCCATTTCTATCGCACAGCTGTTCCCGGTCGAGATTCCTATGAACATACAAAAGCCCATTGTTCGGGTTTACCTCAAATAGCGGGTCCTGAGCTCCAGAAACAATGCGAAATCGCCTGTTTATCAAGGTACTGACATCCAGGCCCAAATCTTTGGCAACATTTCCAATAATAGCTCCCACTTTAATTTCCTCTAGAGTCGAGTATTTTATTTGAGCGAAGACCAGCTCACCAAAGCAAAACAGCAGAGAGAAAAGCAGAGGACTCGACCAAGACATCATTCTGCGTCTTTGTCCTTTGTCTCCTTAGGTGTAATCATTTAAAATGGCATCCACATATATCCTCCTTTTAAAACACCTCCAGTTGTCCTCAGACCATATTTCAGAAAACCACGTTCGCATGGGGAAGGGTAGAGATCAAATACCGAAAAGATGGCATTCTTTGTGGTCATGCCAGAAAATAATACTCTTTCAGAGGGGCAGAGTCTATTTTGCCTGTAGCCTCAGCAATTCCCTACTGTAACACTGACACCCAGTGGACCACCCAGTGCTAAAATTTGTTAGAAACGAGAAAAAACATAATTAACACAATTCCACTGAACTGAAACCTCTCAAGTATGATGTGTAGTCTCGCGAAACCTCATATTGGCTACTTTGAAAAAAAAACAACGTTCAGCACCATGGACAACGCAAAAGCTGCTGTGTTATAATGGTGACAAAACTGAGTTAACTACCTTTTAAAGTGTCAATAATAAAATCAAACATGACTCTCTTCTCTAGTCTAGATAAAAAAAAAAATAATAAAAATCACCCCAAAGTGAGCAAAACCTCCACGACCAGACTTCAGCATCGTGGAAAGCGGCACAGAATTCTCTTTTGCTGGAAAAGGACTGGACTAAAACACCTAAAATTATTTTACAGTTTATAGAAAGGGAAAATGTTGAAAAATGTTAAGACTGTGACTGCAACACATAAGTGTTTATCTCTTTCCTAAAAAACAGATACTATGTTTTCAAAACTAATAAGCTGATTCAGTCTCCAGATCTGTACTGGATAATGTGACACAGTATCCCATCATAATTGGTATCTTGTAGCTATGTAGAAGTATAGTCAGTGGATATTGAGAGCTCTATTGCAATCAACATGATGATACTGAGGAGAAGAAGTGATGAAACTGAGCCCAAAGTTATCATCAGATAAAAACTCTGTATATCCGTCCACCCCAAAGAGACTCTGGTCAGATCAGTGGATTCCTGATAAGGTGGAAAACAATACATCCAGATTTCTAAAACAGAGTAGTGTGGTAAATAAAATCAGTTATTTGTACTAAATGGGCTGAAATACAAACCACAAGTTTGGTCCTTGAAATCAATCAATGGAATAGATAAAGCTTTAAAGGGGAAACCTATATTCTGGCTTGAAAACTGCTTAAATATGTCATCGGCGGCTGACCTTTGTCAGAGGCTTGGATGTCTAACTTGAAAACATCAGCTGTCTCATAGTCAGTTTGTCCGTTAACTCGAATCTCGCCTGTATTTCTGTCTAGGCTGAACAGCTCCAACACCTTGGAATTCAAGTGCGACTCTATCAGCACCATGGACGGCGCTATGAAATATGCTGTAATGTTGGTATTGATTTCTCTTGAAGTAGCTTAAAACTATTGCTTCAAACAAACATTTCCGAAGTTAAATTTAAAATCACCATGACCAATACACGCACAGCTATACGTAAGCACCAGTCAAAAGTTTGGACACTCCCTCCAAAATTTTCACTTTTACAGTATATCGATATCACCACGAAATAGTGTCATGTCAGTAACATAAATACATTTTCTTACTTTAAGAGAGGTGTAAGTGAATTAATGAGATTTAAATGAAAACGGCATGAAAAATTTGTGAACATTTACCCTAGTAGTAAATTGTTTTGTATGTTTCTAATCTTATCAGTTTGGAAGAAAATATCTTAACCCTTAGTAAATTCTCTGTGACTGCATGAAAGGTATTTTCAGTTAAAATCGAAACATGTCGTACCTCTTCAGATGTTCTCCTCCTGTCAGGAAGCACAAGTGTATTCGCATGACTTCCAGGGACAATAGTAGATCCTATACTCATTCTGGGTCCAACTAACATGTACCGTTTGTCTCCAGATCTGTACTGGATGCTGTGACACAGTGTCCCATCATAGTTAGTCTCTTGTAGATATTTAGAATTATAGTCTGTGGATTTTGAGCACTGCATTGCAATCAGCACGATGATACTGATGAGAAAAAGTGCTGAAACTGAGCCCAAAGTTATCATCAGGTAAAAAGTCACATTATTTTCCTCATCTGCTTTTGCTGAATTTTTCACATCAGAAGCTGCAAAAGCCTCTTTGGGCTCCACAAGTTTGACAATCACAGTAGCTGTTGCTGAGAGTGAAACGTTGCCATTGTCTTTGACAAGTATGACCAGTTTATGCTCAGCCTCGTCTGTCTCTGTGAATGAGCGAAGTGTTCTGATCTGTCCTGTATAACGGTCCAAACCAAAGAGACTGTGGTCAGTAACTTCCTGCAGTGAAAACAGTAACCAGCCGTTATATCCTATATCAGCGTCATAGGCTCTGACTTTAGTCACCAAGTGTCCTGCGTTCACGTTGCGGGGAATCTCCTCCACACCTTCAGCAGAACCGTTAGAGCTGAGTGGATACAGGATGACTGGAGCGTTGTCGTTCTGATCCAGAATGAATACGTTCACTGTGACGTTGCTGCTTAGTGACGGAGTGCCAGAGTCTGAGGCAACAACTTTGAACTGGAAAGTTTTCATTGTTTCAAAGTCAAAACTTTTTTGCGCGGTGATGTGTCCATTACTGGGATTTATATTTAGAAAAGAAAATATGTCATTTTGACTCCCTTCTCTCATAATATGATATGCAATAGCTGCATTGTCGTCTGCATCTTTGTCCGTTGCACTTACAGAGAATATCGACTTTCCAGCAACATTATTTTCTGACATGTAAAATTGTAAAGGATTTTGGGAGAATTTTGGAATATTGTCGTTTACATCTGATATATGAATGCTAAGACTTTTGAAAGTTGATAGGGGAGGTTCACCACCATCAGTGGCTTTTACTGTTATTTCATAACGTGACACCTCCTCTCTATCTAAAAAATCCTTAGTAATAACTGAATATATGTTCTCTTTGTATGATGGTTGCAATTGAAAAGGCACGTCTGAGGTTATACTTGAAATTATTTTTCCGTTAACACCGGAGTCTTTATCTCGCACACTCAGTAGCGAAATAACTGTTCCAGGCTTTGAGTCTTCAGACACTGTATCTGACAGTGATGTTACTTCTATTTCCGGTGGATTATCGTTAACATCTTTTATTTTTACAATGACCCTACACTCACCTGTCAGTGGAGGTGTTCCTTTATCTGATGCCTCAATATCCAGTTTATAAACATCGTTTTCTTCATAATCCACTACTCCTTTTACTCTAATCTCTCCAGTTAATTTGTCCAGTTCAAAAATGTCATAGACTTTTTTCTTAAGAGTTTTTCCAAGGCTGTATTCAATTTCACCGTTGGTGCCTTCATCTGGATCCGTGGCATTAATTTGAAATACTAAAGTACCGACTGCAACATTTTCTTGTATTTCAATTTGGTAAACGTCCTGACTAAATATCGGACGATTGTCATTAATATCTAGAACAATAATGGAAACATTCAGTGTGCCAGATCTAGGAGGTTTACCTCCATCAACTGCTGTAACCAGTAGTCTTTGTTTGTTCTTTTGCTCTCTGTCTAATGACTTCTTCAGTACTAAGAATGGTATTTTTTCATCATCGCTTTGACGGATATCTATTTCAAAGTGGTCATTTGAAGTTAAAGTGTATGTACGAATAGAGTTAATTCCAGCATCGGGGTCACGAGCAGTGTGTAGCTGAAATCGCTTTCCTGGTAACGTATGTTCTGCTATTTCAAATCTCTGCTGTTTTTCAGGAAAACTAGGAGTGTGATCATTTACATCGACAATTTCCACGACAACATAGTGTATTTCCAAAGGGTTTTCGACTATGACTTTTAGCTCCATCAGGCAGGCACCACTGCCGTGACAGAGCTCCTCTCTGTCGATATTCTTATGAACATAGAGAGCCCCATTGTTCTGGTTTACCTCAAAAAATATCTCCTTAGATTCAGAAACAACACGGAACCGTCGGTCAGACAAAGAGGTGATGTCAAGACCAAGATCCTTAGCAGCATTTCCAACAACAGTTCCTTCTTTAACCTCCTCTGGAATAGAGTACCTTATTTCTGCCAAAGCCCATTTTCCGAAAAAAAGCATTAAAGACAAGTAAAACGAAAAGCAAGAGGAGTTACTTGTTCTGGTTATTCCTTTAGTCCCCATCGTTATACAACAAAATATCGCTACATACAGAGAAGCCCGTTACTGCAAACTGTGATTATTTATATCCAACCCAGTGTGTACCGCATATTTACAAATAGCACAACGCAAGTCCATCAGATGCCGAGCTCCATTTAACTGCCTTCTCTCCTTCTTTCAGGGAGCAGACAAAAGCTTTGTGAGGGGAGGGACAAGGTATCCTATGGTCTCCCAATGTAATGCTGACACCCAGAGGACATTGGAGGAGTACTATGCTATATATTCCCCTAATTAAAAAAAAAACTTTAGCCAATGGTCATCTTATAGAGGCTACAATACGGTTTTCAAAATTTATATCTTTTCAAATTGTTTGTGTAAAAAGACAAAATGAGTACAATGTCTGTTGGTAAACTGTGGAAGGAGCATATTAGTTGAAGTGTCTACAATATCCTCCAGTTAATGAGCTTACATAAATTATGCTATTTATTAAGTTTCTTAATTAAATTTTGAATCCTTTTTCCCAGGAAAACAAAAAGCAAATGTGCTTCAGCACCATAGACAGAGATTTGAACCAGGCGTTTCACCTGAACAAAAGGAGTCCAGCCTCATGCACATAATTCACACAAAACAACCACAACACTTAGCATGTACTGTTGATTGTATTTTAGGATTTGGATAAATGTTTCTAAAATTATCACAGACAGGTGGCACGAACAGTTTTTTAATTCTCACATTCTAAGTTTTTTTCTCAAGAGTATTATGGACTGCGATCATACTCAAGAAAAGACTGTAGTCGTTCACATGGATGACAGAAGATACACTGTTTTATCTATTTTAAATCTTTGGTCCTCGTCACTTTATATTGTCTCGAAAATGACAAAGAATTCGAAAGTGTAGCAGGTACAAAGCAGAGGAAGAGTGTGTATCATCTCGACAACGCACAGCATAGAAAGCAAGCCTCTTCCTACACTGACTTACATAACCTACACAAAGCAGCAAACAATGTTGGGTGAATATTGTATCTCTAAATGAAGTCAGGCTAATGAGTAAAGATCCAAATAATAAGCATTAAACTTCTAATCAGACTTGTGAAGTGGTAGAGATCATGTCAAGTGGTTTGGTATTGTTCTTTGGACTAGGGGTTTTAGAAGGATAAAGAAGAGGAAATATGCCATAGAGCAGAGAGCAATGATGGAGCGTGATGCAGATAAACATGTTATATATCACATTGTTTTCAAGCTCTTACCTCTTCAGATGTTCTCCTCCTGTCAGGGAGCACTAGTGTATTTGCATGGCTTCCTGGGACAATAGTAGATCCTATACTCATTCTGGGTCCAACTAACATGTACCGTTTGTCTCCAGATCTGTACTGGATGCTGTGACACAGTGTTCCATCATAATTAGTCTCTTGTAGATATTTAGAAGTATAGTCTGTGGATTTTGAGCACTGCATTGCAATCAGCACGATGATACTGATGAGAAAAAGTGCTGAAACTGAGCCCAAAGTTATCATCAGGTAAAGAGTCACATTATTATCCTCATCTGCTTTTGCCGAACTTTTAACATCAGAAGCTGCAAAAGCCTCTTTGGGCTCCACAAGTTTGACAATCACAGTAGCTGTTGCTGAGAGAGAAATGTTCCCATTGTCTTTGACCAGTATGACCAGTTTATGCTCAGCCTCGTCTGTCTCTGTGAATGAGCGAAGTGTTCTGATCTGTCCTGTATAACGGTCTAAACCAAAGAGACTGTGGTCAGTAACTTCCTGCAGTGAAAACAGTAACCAGCCGTTATATCCTATATCAGCGTCATAGGCTCTGACTTTAGTCACCAAGTGTCCTGCGTTCACATTGCGTGGGATCTCCTCCACACCTTCAGCGGAACCGTTAGAGCTGACTGGATACAGGATGACTGGAGCGTTGTCGTTCTGATCCAGAATGAACACGTTCACTGTGACGTTGCTGCTTAATGACGGAGTTCCAGAATCGGATGCAACAATGTGGAACTGAAAAGTTTTCATTGTTTCAAAGTCAAAACTTTTTTGCTCGGTGATGTGTCCATTACTGGGATTTATATTTAGGAAAGACGTCATGTCATTTTGATTCCCTTCTCTCATAATATAATATGAAATAGCTGCATTATCACCCAAATCACGGTCCGTCGCGCTTACGGAGAATATCGACTTTCCAGCAACATTATTTTCTGAAATGTAAAATTGTAATGGATTTTGGGAGAATTTTGGAGTATTGTCGTTTACATCTGATATCTGAACGCTAAGAGTTTTGAAAGTTGCTAAGGGAGGTTCACCACAATCAGTGGCTTTTATTGTTATTTCATATTGTGACACCTCCTCTCTATCCAAAAATCTCTTCGTCACGACTGAATATGTGTTCTCCTTATAAGAAGGTTTTAATTCAAAAGGTACTTCTGATGTTATGCTTAAAATTATTTTTCCATTTAAACTGGAGTCTTTATCCGTCACACTAAGAAGTGAAATAACTGTGCCAGGCTTTGAGTCTTCAGACACTGTATTTGACAGTGATGTAACTTCTATTTCCGGCAGATTATCGTTGACATCTTTTATTTTTACAATGACCCTACACTCACCTGTCAGTGGAGGTGTTCCTTTATCTGATGCCTCAATATCCAGTTTATAAACATCGTTTTCTTCATAATCCACTACTCCTTTTACTCTAATCTCTCCGGTTAATGTGTCCAGTTCAAAAATGTCATAGACTTTTTTCTTAAGGGTTTTTCCAAGGATATATTCAATTTCACCGTTGGTTCCTTCATCTGGATCCGTGGCATTAATTTGAAACACTGAAGTACCGACTGCAACATTTTCTTGTATTTCAATTTGGTAAACGTCCTGACTAAATATCGGACGATTGTCATTACTATCAAGAACAATAATGGAAACATTCAGTGTGCCTGTTCTAGGAGGTTTACCTCCATCAACTGCTCTAACCAGTAGCATTTGTTTGTTCTTTTTCTCTCTGTCTAACGGCTTCTTCAGCACTAAGAATGGTATTTTTTCCTCATCGCTTTGACGGATATCTATTTCAAAGTGGTCATTTGACGTTAAAGTGTATGTACGAATAGAGTTAATTCCAGCATCGGGGTCACGAGCAGTGTGCAGCTGAAATCGCTTTCCTGGTAATGTATGTTCTGCTATTTCAAACGTTTGCTGTTTTTCAGGAAAACTAGGAGAGTGATCATTTACATCGGTAATTTCTATAGCCACGTAGTGTATTTCCAAAGGGTTTTCGACTAGGATTTTTAGCTCCATCAGACAGGCACCTCTGCCTTGACAGAGCTCCTCTCTGTCGATATTCTTATGAACATAGAGAGCCCCATTGTTCTGGTTTACCTCAAGAAATGTCTCCTTAAATCCAGTCACAACACGGAACCGTCGGTCAGTTAACGAGGTGATGTCAAGGCCAAGATCCTTCGCAACATTTCCAACCACAGTTCCGTCTTTAACCTCCTCTGGAATAGAGTACCTGATCTGAGCAAAAGCCTGCTTTCCGAAAAAAAGCAGTAGAGCCATATGAAACACAGACAAATAGTATTCTCTTGTTCGGCTGTATGTATCAGTCCCCATCATTATATTGTAACTTAGAGGAAACACAAGAAATATTGTAGCCAATGTCCAACGCACCGAGTATTGCACGATCACAAAAAGCACAACGTGAATCCATCGGCTAGCGTGCTGTATTCAAACCTTTGCCCTGCTCTGGATGGCAAACAAAAGCTTTTTGATGGGAGGGACAAAGCCTTTTATCGTTTCTCAATGTTACAGTGACACCCGCGGGCCATTGAAGGAACATCATAGACTAACCATATTCACTGCAACACTATGCAGCAAAATAAAAACGGGCATAGACGATCAACATAGACAAACACCTCTACAGTGTTTGTTGCTCTCTCTCTCTCTCTCTCTCTCTCTCTCTCTCTCTCTCTCTCTCTCTCTCTCTCTCTCCCTGTATGTGTTTTTATGTGGAAAGTATCCTTAAGTTGTTTGCTTTTGCGCATTGTACACTGAAGGTTAACCTAACGTTGTTATTGCTTGTGTATTACCCTCTTTTTGAAGACAAATTGCGATTTTTTTGTAGCAATGGAAATAAATCATAATTAAGATTAGGTATGAGTAATAAACGTTTCGATCAAATTTGTACAATGCAGCTCATACAACTCCACGACATAAACAGCACAAACAACAAGCCTTCCAATCAGTTACTGGTTACATTTTTGTTGACAGTTTAGAGCTGTTCACCTGTCAAAAACGTAAACTAAGTACTAAGTAGCTTAAGCATTTCAACACTGTGGACAGCGGTCACAAACAAAGGAAGGTTGTATTCTTTAAAATAAAGCATACAATATCAATTATTGTGGTTATTTCAAGTATTTGGCATTGAAATTGTGTCGAAAGGTAAGAGAAAAAGGTGGAGCAAAGCGTGTACCCTCTGCATTCTGGTACAGTCACTTTTAATTGATTTAATTAATTTAACAATTTTAATATTATTCAGTTTGTTTGTAAATTGTATTTGGTGGTGTTTGCTTTAAGGTCTTACCTCTTCAGATGTTCTCCTCCTGTCAGGGAGCACTAGTGTATTTGCATGGCTTCCCGGGACTATAGTAGATCCTATACTCATTCTGGGTCCAACTAACATGTACCGTTTGTCTCCAGATCTGTACTGGATGCTGTGACACAGTGTCCCATCATAATTAGCCTCTTGTAGATATTTAGAAGTATAGTCTGTGGATTTTGAGCACTGCATTGAAATCAGCACGATGATACTGATGAGAAAAAGTGCTGAAACTGAGCCCAAAGTTATCATCAGGTAAAGAGTCACATTATTTTCCTCTTCTGCTTTTGCTGAACTTTTCACATCAGAAGCTGCAAAAGCCTCTTTCGGCTCCACAAGTTTGACAATCACAGTAGCTGTTGCTGAGAGAGAAATGTTCCCATTGTCTTTGACCAGTATGACCAGTTTATGCTCAGCCTCGTCCGTCTCTGTGAATGAGCGAAGTGTTCTGATCTGTCCTGTATAGCGGTCCAAACCAAAGAGACTGTGGTCAGTAACTTCCTGCAGTGAAAACAGTAACCAGCCGTTATATCCTATATCAGCGTCATAGGCTCTGACTTTAGTCACCAAGTGTCCTGCGTTCACGTTGCGGGGAATCTCCTCCACACCTTCAGCAGAACCATTAGAGCTGAGTGGATACAGGATGACTGGAGCGTTGTCGTTCTGATCGAGAATGAACACGTTCACTGTGACGTTGCTGCTTAATGACGGAATTCCAGAATCTGACGCAATAACGTGGAACTGGAAGGTTTTCAGTGTTTCAAAGTCGAAACTTTTTAGAGCGGATATTTGTCCATTATCTGAATTGATGTTTAAAAATGCTGCAGTTTTAACTTGACTACCTTCATCTCTAACGATATTATAAGTTAAAGCCCCATTTTCATTCAAGTCTCTATCCGTGGCAGTAATGGAAAATATTGTTTTTCCTGGCACGTTATTTTCTCTCAGGTAAAATTCAATGGGATTATGCAAAAATTCTGGGTTGTTATCATTCACGTCTGATACATCAATAGTCAGAGTTTTTAATGTAGATAGGGGAGGCTGGCCACAGTCTGTAGCTGTTATTTCGATGTCATAATGCGAAATTGATTCTCTATCCAAACGATTTTTCAGAATTAACGAGTACATATTCTCTTGAAATGACGGTTTTAATTCGAAAGGCGCATTATCTGAAAGACTACATATGACTTTGCCGTTTAAACCGGCGTCTTTGTCTGTAATACTAATAAGAGAAATTACAGTTCCAGGTTTTGAGTCTTCAGATACCATCTTTGACAGAGATGTCACCTCTATTTCAGGTTTGTTGTCGTTTTCGTCTAGCACTTTGATGATTACAGTACAATCAGTACTCATCGGAGGTTGCCCTTTGTCAGTGGCGTGGACATTTAACTTATAAACGTCAACCTTTTCAAAATCAATTTGGCCTTTTACTCGAATTTCACCGGTGTCTTTATCTAAGACAAACATGTCATATATTTTCCGATCGATTTGACCACCGAGAAAATATTCAATATCTCCATTTACACCCTCATCCAGATCAGTTGCCTTCACCATAATTACACTTATTTCTGCATCCACATTTTCAGGTATAGTTACTGAATATACTTCTTGACTAAAAGTAGGGTGGTTATCATTTGAATCGAGGACTATGACAGTGACATTAAGAGTCCCTGATCTCGGTGGATTTCCACCGTCAACAGCTGTCAATATGAGTCTGTGCTCATGGTGCTTTTCCCGATCTAGAGATTTTTGCAAAACTAAGAATGGTACCTTATCGTCTCCTCTCTCTCGAATCTGTATGCTAAAATAGTCATTATGACTTAATTTATACACGCGTACTGTATTGATGCCAACATCTGGATCGTGAGCAGTTGGTAACTGAAAGCGTTTGCCAGGAACAGTGGACTCAGAAATTTCTAATAAATGTTCTTCCTCCGGAAAACTGGGTGAGTTATCGTTTGCATCAATCAGTTCCACCGCCACATAATGTATTTCCATGGGGTTCTCAGCTACCATTTTCAAATTTATTAAACACGGCGAAGTGCTTTCACAGAGCTCCTCTCGGTCAATATTTTTATGGACATATAACACGCCATTGTTCCGATTGACATCAAACTGTGCATCTTCAGTTCCAGAGACAATACGAAACCGTCTGTCCTCCAATGAGCTGATGTCCAATCCTAGATCCTTGGCGACATTTCCAACAACAGATCCTATTTTTACTTCCTCTGGGACTGAATATTTTATCTGAGCTGAACCCCGCTCCATACAGCTCAGCAACACAGAAAATCGGAAGGCTACCCACCAGTAGTGTATTCCTCGTCTTTGTCCTCCGGCTCCCATCGTTTCAGCTTGGATTAATATTGATATTATTATAGCCACTCACAATCCTTACGAAACAGGAAATTGCCTAATAAGCAAAATATACTGTGGAAATGTGTCTCATATTTTCGGTTTAACTATGTACAAATGGAAAAACGGCAACACTCGTTTGTCTTGAGGATACACTGTCTCCCGTCTAGTCACTAGAACAAAACCTCCTAGGAAAGGGCAGGGCCAACAGCATAACACAACAGTTTATGCTGATATGACACTGACACCTTGTGGAAAGAACACATTGTGAGCTATTTTAAACCAACTTGCGATATAAAAGAAGATACAAATGTGTTTGCAAATTGTAGTTTCTAAACAACAATTGATGTATAATTTGCTGAACATGTTTGAATGCAGCTTATACAGTTTTAGTTTTGAATGACGTACATTTGTACTAATCCAGGAAGTTATTTACCCTGAATTTCTGTATAGTATGACAACCTTTGATAGTGTGATAGTATGATAATTTAGTCTGTTTTACATTATCGTTTCTTGATGGTGCAGTATCAACAACAGTGTAATGTAATGGATACTATTTATGCAAATCTGAAGAATACGCTAATGGACCATCATAATGCAAATATAGGGGAACCACCAGATTCCTGGAAAGGTGGATAAGATGCATCCACATTACTAAAGCACAGTATTGTGATAAGTAACAAACTCTGATTTTTGGCAAATGGGCTAAAATAGAAAACACAAGCTTGGCCCTTGAAATCCACAAGTGTAATGCAGGACTCTTGATAACGAAACTTACATTCTATCTTGAAAATCCCTTTAATATGACTGAACGTGACTCACTGTCAGTGCATTGGACGGTGACATAATATGTGGCTTTATATTAGTAGATTTTCTCGTGGAGTAGCTTAACGATATTACAAACAAAAAGACGTATCCAAGCTTAAAATCAAATCCCAACTTAAAATCACCTAAATGTGACCAATGCCACCAAAACTACACTTCAGCACCTTGGACAGCGCTCGGGCATTAACCATCGATTGTGCCATCAAATATGGTGTCATGTTAGTACCCTGAACACATTTTCTTTTTCTAAGAGAGGCATAACTGACAGTGATAAGACTGAAATTAAATCGGTATGTAGCATATCAGAACCTTTATTCTACGTATTGAACATTAATTGTTTTACATGTTTCTAAAGGTCATCTTCTCTGTTTGGGAGGCATGATCTTGATGTAAGCCACAGTAAAGACTCTGAGAGCGCATGAATAATATCTTCGATTAAAATCGAAAAACGTCTTACCTCTTCAGATGTTCTCCTCCTGTCAGGGAGCACTAGTGTATTCGCATGGCTTCCCGGGACTATAGTAGATCCTATACTCATTCTGGGTCCAACTAACATGTAGCGTTTGTCTCCAGATCTGTACTGGATGCTGTGACACAGTGTCCCATCATAATTAGCCTCTTGTAGATATTTAGAAGTATAGTCTGTGGATTTTGAGCACTGCATTGCAATCAGCACGATGATACTGATGAGAAAAAGTGCTGAAACTGAGCCCAAAGTTATCATCAGGTAAAAAGTCACATTATTATCCTCATCTGCTTTTGCTGAACTTTTCACATCAGAAGCTGCAAAAGCCTCTTTGGGCTCCACAAGTTTGACAATCACAGTAGCTGTTGCTGAGAGTGAAACGTTGCCATTGTCTTTGACCAGTATGACCAGTTTATGTTCAGCCTCGTCTGTCTCTGTGATTGAGCGAAGTGTTCTGATCTGTCCTGTATAGCGGTCCAAACCGAAGAGACTGTGGTCAGTAACTTCCTGCAGTGAAAACAGTAACCAGCCGTTATATCCTATATCAGCGTCATAGGCTCTGACTTTAGTCACCAAGTGTCCTGCGTTCACATTGCGGGGAATTTCCTCCACACCTTCGGCAGAACCATTAGAGCTGAGTGGATACAGGATGACTGGAGCGTTGTCGTTCTGATCCAGAATGAACACATTCACTGTGACATTGCTGCTTAGTGACGGAGTTCCAGAGTCTGACGCAACAACGTGGAACTGGAAAGTTTTCAGTGTTTCAAAGTCGAAACCTTTTAGAGCGGATATTTGTCCATTTTCTGAATTGATGTTTAAAAATGCTGCAGTTTTAACTTGACTACCTTCATCTCTAACGATATTATAAGTTAAAGCCCCATTTTCATTCAAGTCTCTATCCGTGGCAGTAATGGAAAATATTGTTTTTCCTGGCACGTTATTTTCTCTCAGGTAAAATTCAATGGGATTATGCAAAAATTCTGGGTTGTTATCATTCACGTCTGATACATCAATAGTCAGAGTTTTTAATGTAGATAGGGGAGGCTGGCCACAGTCTGTAGCTGTTATTTCGATGTCATAATGCGAAATTGATTCTCTATCCAAACGATTTTTCAGAATTAACGAGTACATATTCTCTTGAAATGACGGTTTTAATTCGAATGGCGCATTATCTGAAAGACTACATGTTACTTTTCCGTTTAAACCAGCGTCTTTGTCTTTAATACTAATAAGAGAAATTACAGTTCCAGGTTTTGAGTCTTCAGATACCATCTTTGACAGAGATGTCACCTCTATTTCAGGTTTGTTGTCGTTTTCGTCTAGCACTTTGATGATTACAGTACAATCAGTACTCATCGGAGGTTGTCCTTTGTCAGTGGCATGGATATCTAACTTGTAAACGTCAACCTTTTCGAAGTCAATTTCGCCTTTTACTCGAATTTCGCCAGTATCTTTATCTAAGACAAACATGTCATATACTTTAGGGTCAATTTCCTCACCGAAAAAATACCCAATATCTCCATTTACACCCTCATCCAGATCAGTTGCCTTCACCGTAATTACACTTGTTTCCGCGTCCACATTTTCAGGTATAGTTACTGAATACACTTCTTGACTAAAAATAGGGTGGTTATCATTTGAATCGAGGACTATGACAGTGACATTAAGAGTCCCTGATCTCGGTGGATTTCCACCGTCAACAGCTGTCAATATGAGTCTGTGCTCATGGTGCTTTTCCCGATCTAGAGATTTTTGCATAACTAAGAATGGTACCTTATCGTCTCCTCTCTCTCGAATTTGTATACTAAAATATTCGTTTTGACTTAATTTATACAGGCGTACTGTATTGATGCTAACATCTGGATCACGGGCAGTTGGTAACTGGAAGCGTTTACCTGGCAGTATGGACTCAGGTATTTCTAATATTTTTTCTTCCTCCTGAAAACTGGGTGAGTTATCGTTTACATCAATGAGTTCCACCACCACATAATGTATTTCCATGGGGTTCTCAGCTACCATTTTCAAATTTATTAAACACGGCGAAGTGCTTTCACAGAGCTCCTCTCGGTCGATATTTTTGTGCACATATAACACGCCATTGTTCCGATTGACATCAAACAGTGCATCTTCAGTTCCAGAGACAATACGAAACCGTCTGTCCTCCAATGAGCTGATGTCCAATCCTAGATCCTTGGCGACATTTCCAACAACAGATCCTATTTTTACTTCCTCTGGGACTGAATATTTTATCTGAGCTGAACCCCGCTCCATACAGCTCAGCAACACAGAAAATCGGAAGGCTACCCACCAGTAGTGTATTCCTCGTCTTTGTCCTCCGGCTCCCATCGTTTCAGCTTGGATTAATATTGTTATTATTATATCCACTCACAGTCCTTACCAAACAGGAATTTGCCTAATAAGTAAAATATACTGTGGAAATGTGTCTCATATTTTCGGTTTAACTATGTACAAATGGTATAACGGAAACATTCGTTTGTCTTGAGGGTACACTGTCTCCCGTCTAGTCACTAGAACAAAACCTCCTAGGAAAGGGCAGGGCCAACAGCATAACACAACAGTTTATGCTGATATGACACTGACACCTTGTGGACAGAACACATGGTGAGCTATTTTAAACCAACTCGCCATATAAAAGAAGATACAAATGTATTTGCAAATTGTAGTTTCTAAACAACAATTGATGTATAATTTGCTGAACATGTTTGAATGCAGCTTATACAGTTTTAGTTTTGAATGACGTACATTTGTACTAATCCAGGAAGTTATTTACCCTGAATTTCTGTATAGTATGACAACCTTTGATAGTGTGATAGTATGATAATTTAGTCTGTTTTACATTATCGTTTCTTGATGGTGCAGTATCAACAACAGTGTAATGTAATGGATACTATTTATGCGAATTTGAAAAATGGGCTAATGGACCATCATAATGCAAATATAAGAGAACCACCAGATTCCTGGAAAGGTGGATAAGATGCATCCACATTACTAAAGCACAGTATTGTGATAAGTAACAAACTCTGATTTTTGGCAAATGGGCTAAAATAGAAAACAAGCTTGGCCCTTGAAATCCACAAATGTAATCCACGACCCTTGACAACGAAACTTACTTTCTGTCTTGAAAATCGCTTTAATGTGACTGAACGTGACTCACTGTCAGTGCGTTGGATGGAGACATAAAATGTAGCGTTATACTAGTAGATTTCCTCGTGGACTAGCCTAACGATATTGCAAACAAAAAGACATATCCAAGCTTCAACTCAAATCCCAACTCAAAATCACCAAAGTGTGACCAGTACCACCAAAACTACACTTCAGCACCTTGGTCAGCGCTCGGGTATAAACCATCGATTGCGCCACCAACTATGGTGTCATGTTAGATTAGATTAGATTAGATTAGATTAGATTCAACTTTATTGTCATTGCACAGAGTACACGTACTAAGACAACGAAATGCAGTTAGTATCTAACCAGAAGTGCAAAAGAGCAGTTAAAGTGCAAGTGTGTGCTGTACAGGTATGTAAAGTGAGGGTGTGCATAAGTAAAGTGGAGATGTGCATATGTAGGGTACAATAAATTACACTGTGAATTACAATGAATTACAATGATGAGGTGGCGAAATACAATGAAGAGGTAGCGGGAATAAATACAGTGAGTGCTAGACAATGAGTAGGGACGGTTCAGAACAGTTCAGTGCAGGGTTAGGTGGCTGAGGGGGTTGGTGTGGCAGTCACAGTCTCTGGGTTGTGTGTGTGGGGGGGGGGACACCGGGGTTGTGAGTTCAGCAGGGTGACCGCTGCAGGGAAGAAGCTTTTCCTGAACCTGCTGGTCCTGGAGCGGAGAACCCTGTAGCGTTTCCCTGAGGGGATGTTAGTACCCTGAACACATTTTCTTTTTCTGAGAGAGGCATAACTGACATTGATAAGACTGAAATTAAATCGGGATGTAGCATATCAGACTTTTTGTGTGTACGTAGAGAACAGTAATTGTTTTATATGTTTCTACAGGTTATCTTGTCTGTTTGGGAGGCATGATCTCAATGTAAACAGCAGTAAAGATTCTGAGAGTGCATGAACAATATCTTCAATTTAAATCGAAAAACGTCTTACCTCTTCAGATGTTCTCCTCCTGTCAGGGAGCACTAGTGTATTCGCATGGCTTCCCGGGACTATAGTAGATCCTATACTCATTCTGGGTCCAACTAACATGTAGCGTTTGTCTCCAGACCTGTACTGGATGCTGTGACACAGTGTCCCATCATAATTAGCCTCTTGTAGATATTTAGAAGTATAGTCTGTGGATTTTGAGCACTGCATTGCAATCAGCACGATGATACTAATGAGAAAAAGTGCTGAAACTGAACCCAAAGTTATCATCAGGTAAAAAGTCGCATTATTATCTTCATCTGCTTTTGCTGAACTTTTCACATCAGAAGTTGCAAAAGCCTCTTTGGGCTCCACAAGTTTGACAATCACTGTAGCTATAGCTGAGAGTGAAACGTTCCCATTGTCTTTGACTAGTATGACCAGTTTATGCTCAGCCTCGTCTGTCTCTGTGATTGAGCGAAGTGTTCTGATCTGTCCTGTATAGCGGTCCAAACCGAAGAGACTGTGGTCAGTAACTTCCTGCAGTGAAAACAGTAACCAGCCGTTATATCCTATATCAGCGTCATAGGCTCTGACTTTAGTCACCAAGTGTCCTGCGTTCACGTTGCGGGGAATCTCCTCCACACCTTCAGCAGAACCGTTAGAGCTGAGTGGATACAGGATGACTGGAGTGTTGTCGTTCTGATCCAGAATGAACACGTTCACTGTGACGTTGCTGGTTAATGACGGAGTTCCAGAGTCCGACGCAACAACGTGGAACTGGAAGGTTTTCAGTGTTTCAAAGTCAAAACTTTTTAGAGCGGATATTTGTCCGTTTTCTGAATTTACATTGAGGAAAGATGTCATATCACCCTGCAGCCCGTCACCTCTTATAATACGGTATGTTATTGCTGCATTTTCATTCAGATCATTATCAACAGCAGTTACAGAATAAATTGATGCCCCCGGAGCATTGTTTTCTACCAAATAAAGTTCAACTGGATTCAGACTAAAATCTGGTCTGTTATCATTTACATCTGACACCTGAACACGCAAAGTTTTTGCAGAAGAAAGTGGAGGGACCCCACTGTCAGTAGCTGTTATCGTGATGTCATAATGGGACACAGTTTCTCGGTCTAAACGTCCTTTTGTTACAAGAGAATACATGTTCTCCTCAATGGATGGCATCAAATCAAAAGGAACATTATTCGAGATTTTACAAATAACTTTTCCATTAACACCCGAATCTATGTCCGTGACACTGATGAGAGATATCACAGTGCCAGGCTTTGAATCCTCGGGGATGACGTTCGACAATGATGTTACTTCAATATCTGGCTCGTTATCATTCACATCTTTAATTTTTATCACAACTCTGCTTTCGGCTGTCCAGGGTAGCTGACCCTTATCTGAAGCCTGTAAATCTAGTCTGTATATCTCCGTGTCCTCAAAGTCCACTTTTCCTTTCACTCGAATCTCGCCAGTGACACTGTCTAGTTCAAAGGTATCGTGCACTTTTTTCTTTTGTGTTTTTCCAAAGGAATATTCAATTTCGCTGTTCAAACCTTCATCTAAATCTGTAGCGTTTAATTGTATTACAAGAGTTCCTATCAGGGCATTTTCATCTAATGACACACTATATGTATCTTTGCTGAAAACAGGGCGATTATCGTTTGCATCTAGCACAGTGATAGTTAAATTAAGGCTCCCGGATTTGGACGGACTACCCCCATCAAGCGCCGTTAACACTAACCGATGTTCTGCCTTTTTCTCTCTGTCCAGGGGCTTTTTCAGCACTAAAAACGGTATCTTGTCCTCCCCACTGTCTCTCACTTCTGTATCAAAAAAATCATTTGTGTTCAACTTATATAATCGAACTGACTGTGTACCAACATCAGGGTCTCTGGCGGCATGAATTTGGAAACGAGTGCCTGGAGGAGTATGCTCTGCTATTTCCAGTCGCTGCTCGTTTTCTGGAAAAGTCGGTGAATGATCATTAACATCTGTTATTTCAACACCAACATAATGTATTTCCAGTGGGCTTTCAACAACAATCTTCAGGTTTATCAGACAAACCTTGGTTCCATCACAGACCTCCTCACGGTCCATAATTTTTCCAACATACAAGACTCCATTGTTCTGATTTAACTGAAACAGAGCATGATTTGGACCCGAAACAATACGAAACCGCCTGTCTGTCAAGGTGCTAGTGTCAAGACCTAAATCCTTGGCAACATTTCCAACAGGCGATCCCACTTGCACTTCTTCTGGGACAGAGTATTTTAGCTGAGCCACAATCCGCTCCACAAAGCACAGCAACAAAATCCCGGCAACCCACCAGCAGTTCACTCGGCGTCTTTGTCCTCGTCCTCCCATTGTAAAGCAAATAAGGCTGTTTTCTTTGAGGTATATACAATGATCCAGTTGCTCATCGAACCAGTCGAGTTAGATTAATTTCACCATTCTCTAATAGTAGCATTCACACATAGATATTAACCACTTTTCATATTACTTGATACATAGTCTACGATGTGAGCATACCACCCCTATCAGAGATGATGCAGTGATGGGCAGGGCCTGTGCAGATTGAGCAACACAACCATTATCTAGGCTACACTGACACCATATGACCACGGGGCTACAATACCATCCGAAATCTTAAGTGTTTTACTCCCCAACCTCCTTTGCTTGGGGCCTCTATTACAATATATGCTGTCCATAGTCCAATAAAAAAGGTCAATCGATGACCTAATTAAAATCTCATCCAAAGTGACTTCACTCTGTGAAGTTTAAGGTCTGCCTCTTCCAGCAAGTCACCGACATCTTTTGTATGTTTCTCAGCACCCTCCAATCAGGGTGAGTAATCAATGAGCCAAACAATAACACTTGAATTATTATGCATTGTTTACATGTGTTGTTAATGGCATGTAACCTCGTCAACTTCAAATTATCTCGGAGTAACTTAAGTGATGCACTATAGAACAGGAGACACGCACTGAAAATCTGGTCCACAACTATATTTTGTTCAATACACTATGGATTCACTTTGATCAAAACTAAATATGTGTCTGGATATAGGGATTCTAAGTGAATGTGGAACACAAACTTTATTCAGCACAACAGGTCAAATGATTATTCACTTGGGTCTGTCTGCTACTAACTATACTGCTAAGAAAAAGAAATTTAAATAAATAGTGGGGAAAAAACGAGAGCAAAACTTCAGCACCATGGATAGTGACACTTCACACCAACAGAGTCAAAAGAGAAAAGAAAAACATAAAAGGAAAAGAATATATGAACTTTCAATAATAGTGTGTCAAAGCACACCATGTCATATGGGTAATTAAAAAACATTTACCTCTTCAGAAGTTTTCCTCCTGTCAGGGAGGACTAGTGTATTCGCATGACTGCCCGGGACTATAGTAGATCCTATACTCATTCTGGGTCCAACTAACATGTATCGTTTGTCTCCAGATCTGTACTGAATGCTGTGACACAGTGTCCCATCATAATTAGTCTCTTGTAGATATTTAGAAGTATAGTCTGTGGATTTTGAGCACTGCATTGCAATCAGCACGATGATACTGATGAGAAAAAGTACAGACACTGATCCCAACGTTACAATCAAATAAACTATGATATTATTTTCTCCTTGGTCGTTTCCCTTACTGACAACGTCAGAAGCTGCAAAAGCCTCTTTTGGCTCCACAAGTTTGACAGTGACAGTAGCTGTTGCTGAGAGTGAAACGTTGCCATTGTCTTTGACCAGTATGACCAGTTTATGCTCAGCCTCGTCTGTCTCTGTGAATGAGCGAAGTGTTCTGATCTGTCCTGTATAACGGTCCAAACCAAAGAGACTGTGGTCAGTAACTTCCTGCAGTGAAAACAGTAACCAGCCGTTATATCCTATATCAGCGTCATAGGCTCTGACTTTAGTCACCAAGTGTCCTGCGTTCACGTTGCGGGGAATCTCCTCCACACCTTCAGCAGAACCGTTAGAGCTGACTGGATACAGGATGACTGGAGCGTTGTCGTTCTGATCCAGAATGAACACGTTCACTGTGACGTTGCTGCTTAGTGACGGAGTTCCAGAATCTGACGCAACAACGTGGAACTGGAAATTTTTCAGTGTTTCAAAGTCAAAACTTTTTAGCGCTGAAATCGTGCCATTGGCTTCGTTCATGTTTAAAAAGGAGGTTACAGTTGGCCCCGGACTCTTTCGGTCAAGTGAATATGTGACTGCTGCATTTTCACCTCCATCAGCATCTGTTGCGCTCACTGAAAAAAATGACATCCCGGCCTTGTTATTTTCAGGCACATAAAAAGTATATGGGCTTTCAGTGAACAAAGGACTGTTATCATTAACATCAAGCACATCTACTTGAATCACCTTCGTAGATGAAAGGGAGGGGCTCCCCAAGTCTTTAGCCGTTATTGTAATGTCATACATATGTATTGTTTCCTTATCCAAGAAATCATTGGTGACCAAAGAGAATGACTGTCCGTCAGGAGATGGCTTTAAGTCAAAAGGTAAATGTCCGGGCACACTGCAGACCACCTGTCCATTCACACCTGAGTCAAGGTCCGTCACACCCATCAACGCTACCACCGTGCCAAGAGGTGCATCCTCTGGAATTCGACTTGAAAGGGATGTGATCTCTATTTCGGGTTGGTTATCATTCACATCTTCCACTCTAACAACCACGTTGCATTGTGTGGAGAGAGACACGGCACCTTTGTCCGCAGCCAGCACCTTAATCTCATAGACTTGCTTTTCCTCGTAATCAAGGCCTTCTTTCACTGTTAGTTTGCCAGTTCTGCTATCCAGATCAAACGGGTCAGATGAGAGTCCTCTAAGTTTACTCCTTAAAGAATATTCTATCTCACCGTTCATTCCCTCATCCGAGTCAGATGCATTTACTATCAACAGGAATGTCCCTGGAGGTGCGTTTTCCTTTATTGTTATGGTGTATTTCTGTTTATCACACACCGGTGAGTTGTCATTTATATCAGACACAATAACAGTGATATTAATTGTACCAGATTTTGATGGTTTTCCTCCGTCTGTAGCTGTTAATAGTAACCAGAGTTGAGCAGTCTGTTCTCTATCCAAAGGTCGTTGTAAAATCAGGAACGGAACTTTTCCGTCCTCCCCAAATTCCTCCGTTTCCAGGCGAAAATACTGGTTATGGTTTAGCTTATATGACTGTAAGGAATTCAAACCAACATCCAAGTCGTGGGCTCCTTCCACTTGAAATCGCGATCCAACTACGGAGGACTCCAGCACCTCTAATGTGTAGTTTTCTTCGGGAAATCTCGGCGAATTGTCGTTTACATCGAGTATTTCTATAATTACCTGGTGCATTTCCAGAGGATTTTCTACAACTGCTTTCAGATTTGTGATGCATGGAACAGTTTTTGCACATAGCTCCTCTCTGTCTACTCTCTGGTTGACTAACAAAACTCCATCTCTCGGATTTACCTTAAACAGATCCTGCTTTGTTCCTGACACGACGCGAAGATTTCTGTCCGTCAGTCTTGCAAGATCTAACCCAAGGTCTTTGGCCACATTCCCAACTGCCGCCCCTGATTTGAGTTCTTCCTGAATGGAATACCTTATTTGAGCAGCGATACCTTCCAATTTAATCCCAATCAAGAGTACCAGACAAAAGAAAATCCACATATCCAGCCACTGTCCTCTGATGCCCGTTATCGCCATGTTTTGGGAAAAAACCTTTTAATCCACAGTCTTAAATCCGTCAGCAAGATTCTTGTAGGATTTTTAGTTTCCTGTTAGGGATAATAAACAAGAAAGGCCTGCGAGAACCATCACCATCATTCTAGCAAAAGGATGAAGGCTGTTCAGTCGGTTCTTTCAACCCCTGTCGTTGGGTTGTTACTGAATGTACATGCATAAAAGATGCATCCCTCACACAGAAAACCATTGTAGTGATATGTAGTGTAACAGCACCACCTTTTGTTACTGCAGCGTTGCTGATAAAAGGGTTCCTTCCAGTTTAATAAGTGTTTTCTCCGAAAAACCATCCCGAATGTGCATTTAGGCAGTACGTTGAAGTAGAAATTATAATCACACCATTTATGAGAATGGTCTTTAAAATTTTAATATGAACGTGGGTGTTAAAGGATGAGTCTTACAAGCCGATCCTGAAAATCACAATTAATGAGTGTAGCTAAGAGTTGGTCTTCTTTTTCCAAAAGTCCTATTTCAAGTTGCATGCTATTTTATTGTGCCCCGCTGTATTATAGTACATGTTTCCCACAAATAGCTGGTAAATATTTGTCATCAAAATCACTGTGGTTAAAACAGTTGACCTTTAATATTGTCACAGTGAATGCAAAACGCAATAGAAAAAGAACAAAACGTTTCCTGGAAAGAGCGACGGAATTCTGTACTAATCATAGTGAAAATGAATTTCTTTGTATCAAACGTTACATCCAAACACATATAAAGATTATGTTATTGATAATTTATTATTGGAAAATATTCATCTTATATGTTGAATTATGTGCTTTCAAATGTGACAAATGTCACAGTTTTGTTTCCTAGCTGACCGGCTGCGCTGTGACCAAAAGACTCCCTGATGGTTGAACACTTATCAACTGAACACTGGCTCTATTTTTGTAGATGTGGGGCCAAATTATACAGTTATTTCCAGGAAATCTATTGTAAATGAATTGTAAATTATTCTAAAATCACGGATCCGTAAGTTAAAGCTTTATTTATTTTTTGTATTGTGTTGGTGTAGGTAGAGCTGCTGGTATTCACATTCTATCTGTTTAAATTCTGTGCGGTCTCCGCAGCACACTCCCACAACCGTTCTCCTATTGCAGAGGTGAGCAGTGACATCTCATGGATTAAACCTGAAAGTGCTGCTCTGATGTGCCCATGGCAGCACTGCATTGGTCATATGTAACTGTGCGTTGTTACCCTTGCAGTGGCCTGTCCACACTGCAGCAGTGCATGGCGAAATCCAGAAAAAATATGAGAGAAAAGACAAAAATGATGCCTATACTGACAGCAGCTAGGAAACAAGGTGACCTACATAATAAAAACCCCGAATCTGCGCCCCCCTCCCACCTGCTATGGCTACGTATTGATTCTGGATTTAGGCCAAACATATACGTGCGCGTGCATGTGCGCTGCCGCATTCTGCATCATGTTCTCCGATTTTCTGCCTGCACCCCAAGGATACCAGACTGTTCTAAAGCACCTCATTTCTATTAATGTCAGCTGTTGTTAGGCAAAGGCAGCGGCAATATTTCGCAGAGAATGCTCATCTGATGTCTGTAAGCTGCGGATGCTGCACTGTGTTGTGGGGTGGAGGGAGGGTGGGGGTGATGTTGTCAGAATATGAAATTAAAGGCGGCTCCACAGCACACCGCCAGCTCCAGCGAACAGACAGCACGTCACCATGGCAACGCAGCTCCTTTAGGCAGGTCACTGTCCATGGTGCTGAAGCAGGCGTGCGCCCAGGAAGGACGGACACAGAGGGGGAGGGATGGAGGGAACTATGAGGGAGGAGCTGTGAATGCTGCAGACAAAGAAAGCCAGCTGTATACACACATCCTTAATTTGTTAATTCTCTAAAATATGAAAGATACATGTTACCCTGTGCCATCATATCCCTCCATTATAGTTTATTTACATTATTTTGTAATAAGGGTTTCAGAAGGAAAAGCATGGACTTGCAGCTAAGACAATACTTGTAAAAGAAATATCAATCTTGAAATTTAAATTTTGTCTTGTATTATAAAATTATGCATGGCAAGAGAGACCCCACATATATGCTAATAAATAAAATAGGCCTACATCACAGCATGATGTATGGTGTTCATGTGTTAGCCTACTAGTGCCAGCTGGTGGTTGTTCTAGTGTTTTGTTCCACATTGATGCATAGTTGTGTCATGTATCAGTGTGTTCCTCTGTCAGAGGACCAGTGCTGCAGACAGCAGGCAGTGTGAGAGACTCCTCTCAGGGTCAAGTGGTGATGAGACAGGAAACTGAGAAACGTTTCTTATCTCACTTTCCTCCAACCAAACAAAATATTATCTAGACAAGACCCCATATAAAAGCTTTCATTCTTTCTTTATTTAAAATACATCACAAAGACACCAGCCTCTCGAGTGCTAAGAAGTGCTGCTAAAATTTGGAGGGATGGAGGATATTAAATCAAAATAAGTAATCCTGTGGGCTTCCACTTTCAATCTCTCCTGCACATGCATGACCTCATCTCCCCAGAGAGATGAGGTAATTGTGTGTGCACACACAAAGAGACAGAAAGTGAGACAGACACATTCAGTAGGCCACATTCAGAAAAAAATCCCCCAAACATATATTGTCTGTAAAACAGTGTTACCAAACCAAATTTAACCAAACCTGCTGATGAGTTTTTGTATCACAGTATAATAAATAAAATGCATCTTCTTATGACAACTATACACATTTCAAATTGTGCCCTTTAGTACAAGTCATCAGACTATATTTAGAGCTTTGGTTGAGACATAACGTGGTTGCTTCTTTCCTATAAATGTTAATTATTTTTGACATTGTGTTTCTTTGCAGGATAAAGATGGACATGATGTCCTCACATGAGGTGGATGATCACAGTCAGCATGACTGTGCAGACGGCCCAGAGGAGGCACACAGCTGGACCCTGTTTCTACTGCCGTCATATATGAGAGAGGTATTGTCATGCACTTCCTCAAATGTCTGTCTGTGGAAATATCCCTCTTTTTTTGACTCGCTCATTTTGCACTTGAATTATTTTAAGTGTTTCTAAAAAGCATTTGATTCCATTTAATAATTATTGTCAGATTAGAAGAAAAAAAAACTCTTTATGGACCTGAACTGGGCTTGAGCCCTGGGCATCATAGTGATCTGCAACCTTTAGTGATCTTCAGTCAGTCGAGAAATGGATACACATAGATGGAAGGTATAAGATCTATATATAAATGACTTAAGGCCTTTTTACCAAAAGAGAAAACATGTAAAGGGAGTATTGCCTCCTGGATACGTATTTTAAAGATAAGTTCCCCTTAAATGTTCAAATGATGTATTCTTACTGCATGTGAACAAGGCCACATAAGAAGACATTTTTTATTGTTGAAGGCAGGCTGAGCCGTTTGTAACAGTATTGAAACTTTGTAGGAGGCAGAGTTGGTTTACTTGCCCAAAAGTGAATCTGAATAATGTAAATACATTCGATTTGTACCTCCACCTGTGTACCAGGTGACTCATCCTCACAAAATGGAAAGGGTTTGTTTGATGCTTAATAATACACATAAGCATGCAGCCTATGCAAAGTCATGGTAATTGATTCAATTTTGGCAGTGTGAGCTCAGTTTTTTAAGGAAAGGTGTCTGCATGTTTCAGTGAAGATGTGTGTTGAGTGTTGAGTGAGTTAAGCTAAAAATATTAAAAGCAGGAAGTTGTTGTTTTTGGTTTGTTTTTTTGTAGTTGAACTTACTTTGCAGATATTGTGCTCTATGTTATAGATTCCCCTTTGTCTTCATTATTTATGTCTTATAGATCTTAAATATGATTTAAAAAATGTTGTTTTATTTGAATCTGTACTTACATTCCGGTGGTGGGAAGTCCAGAATGACAGCTTGTGTTCTTCAATCAGTGTGGCTGTAGAAAGAAGATCTTGGTGGAAACACACTCACAGGGTACATCTTCTTTTCTTTGACACTTGCAGTCAGTGTTCCTATTTTGTTACACTGTCTCAGTATCAGAGAGGAAAGAGGAGATCAAACTAGAGGCCACACATCTGAGCATTCTAGGGAAAGATCTGCTTTCTGGTTTTAAGCCTACCACTTATACCTACCACTTGTTGTCATTCTGTGAAGTACAATGGCTGAGCAGTGAATTTGAATTGAAAATAAATTACATGAACGGGGTGATATAGCAGTGCACACTGTGAGTCGCTGTAGACTCCATTCTGTATGTCAGCTATAATAATCTTCCTGGAAGTCAGTAGTAGCTGGTACCAATGACCACCAGCCCCGAGAACACATCAGTCATTGTTAAAGAAAGGAAAAAATTATCTGCAGAGCATCCCACCATTTTCTCCTGTATACATATATATATATATATATTACGTGGCCCTAATTCTCTTCTGTAAGAAAGGAGCCTGACCTCAAATACAAATACTGACAATTTAGTAGCGTAACCATCTACATTCATAATACCACAACTCCTTTAGTGTAGAAGACCGGGCATTGTGTGAGGTCATCTTTGGGCATTTCAGTGCTTTTATACAGTATTTATGAGGTCAGCCCACATATCTGTGTTAGACACCAATAAAGTAAAACTGGATTCAGTTAAAGCTTTTGTGTGTGTGAACCTTTATGTGGCATCATAAATTCATCTTTATTAGATATAATGCAACCACTGTCTCTTAAACAACTCACAATGGAGAATGCAGAGCCAAACTTGTGAAACTAGTGAAGACTGAGTTGACATTCTGTTAGTGTTACAATCCTTTATTTTTCACCCAAGAACCTATGTAATGTACATGTTGTATTTACTATTGCACATCAGTTTCATACCATTTTCAACACAATAAAGTAAAGTAACACAAATATTCTTGTGAATAAGTAAAAATTATATGAAGTGTAACATGCCTTTATAAGAAAATTTTAAACAGACATTGTTTTGTGGCACCTACATGAAAAAGAAAAAATGTAAACAGTCTTTGTGTATGGCGATTATTGGACAGAGCATTGTCCACTTGTTGGACCTTGTCTTTGAAAAAGTATTTGTGGATTCGGCACCATATGTGGAGGAGGTTTTGAAAAAGCTGGTGGGAGTCAAAAGGAGGTGTCTCTGTTCACCTCCACGGGGGTGCAATTGCCTACTATAACTGATGCACATGCTGTTGTGTGTGTTCTCACAGTTATTTGTATACCTCTATAGGTATACAAACTGTATACTATAGGCTACAGTATGTACATCACTCTGCATTTTACTGCTTTTTGCACTTCTATATAGACGCTAAAATGCATTTTATTGGCTGAGTACTTGTACTTTGTGCAGTGCTCATCTAAATGATCTAATCTAATCTAATATTGTATTTTTCTATTAATTAACTGAGAAATCTGCACAAGAATCCCAGTGCCCTTGTACACGTGTACCTGAGCAAATGGCAAATCAAGTTTTAAATCATGATTTTTATTAACATGGACGATTGATGCATGATTTATGTTATTATCAGATCTTGTGGCAAAACAGTACAACACTAAATACAGCTACGATTGATGAGTGATGACAATAAATGCTTTACAGTATCTGAAAAAAAAGTGTTTCATGGGAATTCAATTGATGAAAACTTGGCTATAGACAAAAAGATTGCCTATATACTCAAGACAATCATGTTCTGAATTTGGGCGTTTGTTCAACTATATTTAGAGAGTGTATATAGGCAGTAAAGAATAACTGCAGCTAAAGATTTTTCTGTTCACAGTCAAACTTTTATGGTGTTTACAGATCACAATACAAATGACAGAATATTCACTACATTATTGTGAAAGGGTATCAACCAGATCGTCTGCAGCTTTGACAAACATTTTAAAGCATAAATATGGCAATTGCCAAAAGTAAAAAACTTTTCAAGTGAAAATATCCAAGTTACTCTATGAAACATGGACACAGTTCTCACAGTAGCTGCTGATACTTTAAGTTACTGAGCAGTTTTTCAATTACATAAGTAAATCAACCTATTTATTCCAGACAGGTTGCTGAATCATGATGGTGTCACTGGTGTGACATAAGTGTTTACATTACATATTGTGCTGCATGTATATGCCACACGTTACCAATTTGTCTCCGCACAACAAATACTTTCAACTTCACTGGGCTCTATAAGTCTCTCCTCACAGATGCACTTGTAAAGACAAACGTAAAACAGAGTGTATGTTTATGGTATAGAGAGTTTATGCTTAAAGACGGATCTAATATTATGAGAGATATAAATAACGTTAGCAGTAGGCTATTTACCTAACGAAAATGTCACGGAAAACTGTCACCTTGTTTCCCGATGTTGTTCATTTCTACCTGATAGGGTTGGGGAAGTTTTCGGTTTACAAGCGGTAACTGTGGCGAATATCACGGTTGAGGTGTAGTTAAACTCTGTTATGGTTGTTCTCTCTCTTCAAAACACCAGCAGCCTCTACCCGGAAACACAGCGGGCGGTGCCTTCTCAGGCCTGTGGGAACTGACCAATCAGAGCAGACTAGGCTTAGCGGAAAGGGGTCTGTTAAAGGGACAGGGGCTACTTCATTTAGAGGGTGAAAGGAGGTGCTGCAGAAATGTACAGTGTGAGAAAAAGAACGTGTTTTTGAACATTAAAGCATGAAAACCTATTCTAGTAGGACATCCAAATAAAAATATGAACCTGAAATTGAGCATAATATAGGGAAGTTGGTTAAGTAGCTGACAATAATGGGGCAACCTAATAACATTGTCACCATACATATCATTTGACTTTGACCTGTTCATATGTATTTGAATATTAACATAACTCTTCTTTAAACTAGACCAGACTTATGATAATGCAGCTGTCCTAAAGGGAGATCATGCCATTCGATACAAAAGATTCAGAAGAGCAACATTAACTTTATCGTTCTATATTTTTATGTTTAATAGATCATACAGACCAGACCGTAGCACACAATCAGCCCACATTACACAAATTGCTACATATTGCACCATAAAAGTACCACTGTACAAAAGCACTTACTGTATATGTTTTCCCATAACACATTACAACTTTATACAAGTAATGCAATGTGAGCTGTGCTAAAGAGTTTGACTACATGATTTCTGAATGTTTTACTGTTTCACATACTAGATATCCCATAAATCTGATGGCACAAGAGTTACACTGTTTTAGTTCAGCATTGATATTGTAATGGAAAGGCATATGTATAGATACAGACATATGGTATACTGTATATGTCAGGCATGTCTGTATCTCTGTTTATGTGTCGCATATACAGATACATAAAGTAGTAATACACATGAGCACAGCTTTCATTGAGTAAAATCAATCACAACTATGTTGTTTCAACATTGTAACATAAACATAAAGTCTTCATGATCAGTTCTTCAACTTATTACACAGTCTCAGAACATGAATAACAAACAGAGTTTGGCTTTGGAAATTTAAAAAAGTGAAAGTACATGGTAATGTTTGTGTTCTATATAAAGTAGTTATAATGAGATATTAATTTATCTATTCGCAAAGACTACCTGTGTTTAATTGTGTTCAGTTTTAAAACCTAGATTCATTTTCTCCGATAATGTCCAAGTGGACATAACATTCATACACACTGACTGTACACTTAAGTTTAAGTTGAGAGTACCCTTGTAATGAAATTACAAATCTTAGAAGACCTTATTCAGAAAGTATTACACTTTTGTACTTGTCAATGTGGTCCCATTAAAATGTAATCTTCCATCTTGTTTTGAAAAATACTAAGCCATGATGCCTAACTGCAGACAATGGATTGCTCAATATCATAAGATATCTAAAATTATCAAAGTACTTTGATTATTCCATGCAAAAACAACTGAAAGGCAGATACATAATGGCTAAAGGCCTCACTCTTCTATTTGATGTACTGGTAAACTTAATTTAATCTCTTAGCACTCTCATTCATATATTTAGGCCTAGCTCACATATAAAGCACAAAGTCAAGTACAAAACAAAAAACTACTGAAAGCTACAACACTTATAAAACACTGATTCCTGTTAGTTCCACACTTAAAAATCGTAGGTTGGTGCTTTTCTCACATTTAGTTAATTGTGCTGTTTCACTTCTTAGTTAACTGATATATAATACATCAATGCTGTTGTGCAGCAAGACGAAGCACAGAGGTTAAAAATGAAATATCCAACAGGTGTTTCTTTTATAGAGAGAGAAAACAGTCTCCTAAAGGCATTTCAACATTTCCATGTCCACTCTTTTAGTCCTTGTTGTGGCTTCTTTGAATATCCACTGGTGCAATTTTTTGTACAGTCTGTTTCTTTGCGAGTGTCTCCTTGAAAATGTTTTGTATGAAGGTCTTGGAGTGTGGTTGAAGCCATGCAGCCTTATCATGCATAATGGACAGAGAGGCATTGTTGATTGTTTTTTCATGTTCTTAAAGGAGGAGGGGGCCTTTGATTAGCCACCTCGGCCCATTTGGTGTGAAAACATGGCAACTACACAATGTGAAGAAGAGGGACCAGACTGAGCAGGATGGACATTGGGTGGGGTTGGGGACAGGGGTTTCTCCTTTCCTCTGTGAAGCTTTCCTGTCAGCGTAGATCCAGTGTGCAGCTGGAGTTGTGTGGCCTTATGTGGAACTGCTGCTGCTGGTGGTGGATGCCTGCCAACAAAACAAGAGAATTACATAAATCTGGGGAAGAACTAGAGAACTGAGAGCCGTGTGACTGGCCAAACTGACATATCTCATGCAGCCGACATCTGTCACTCAGACAGGGGCTTCAGGCAGAAAACAGAGTGGGTGAAGGGGTTTTGGGCAGATCCTTGAACATGTAGTGCTGAGGTAGCGGGTCTATAAATGAATACCATGCTCCACGATTATGTGAAGGAGAGTGGTTGCTAGGTAACTGGGTGACTGGTTTCACTTTGCGCCTCTCCTGCACAAAGAATTAGGTCACAATTCACACTACAGAGAGACAGGAATTCAGAAGTGTCAATCTGTGAAGTCAGTAACACTCAGTTGAATTACATTTTTGGCTAACTCAATCATACAGAAACAGCACAGACCAATCCCATTCAAACATTCAAAAATAGGATACACTCCTAATCTATAAATGATGGGTCAGTAAGGGATGAACACAGATTAATCTTCACATGCACAGCACCCTTTTGAGAACATAGTGATTCAATTAAAGACAAATCAATATTTTCTTGACATGTATATTAACTGCAAAAGCCTGATTGTGAAAAATAGCAAAGCCAGCAAATGGTAACATTGTAAGTTGAAGTGAAGGATATTTTTTTAGAACTGTAATCAATGACCTTCAGGTGAAGCAGCAATTTGATGTTATTTGTATTGAATAATTAGGACTATGAGCACAAGAGACAAGTGTATGGCTCAGAAACTGGCAATACTTGACTTTCACTTTGTCATGTAATGACTAGGACAGGAATCCTGTTTTAACACTAGTGTATCTGGATCACCACGTTTGCTTGATTGTCTGCAAATGGACCACAGTCTGTAAGAAATCAGTGTAAAATCATTCCCATTGTGATTATTATGACTTAATGTCTTTGTCCCCTGAGGTCAACCGAGGTCATTATGGCTATATGTTTGTCAAATTCTACAAAAACTTTGAGGAAGGGACATAATCCTAAAATATTGGTAGTGTCAATTATTGTGGTAGTTAGATTGCACAGACATATTTTAGTGGGCTTTAAGGATGATACTGTAATATGAGTAACCAAAAAGTGGGCATGAAGAGGCTAACACAGGAGATTTGGAAAACTGCATGTGATGTCAACTAAGTGACCCTTTGCAATTAAAAAAATCTCCTTCTCCAAGACAAATTAAACAAGACAAAGGAATAAAAGAAAACATCCACTGTGAACAAAACAAACACAAAAAACAACTCAAACACTAAGTTCTGTAACATCATTCATAAAAAGGGCATCCGGAGCGGGGGAGTGAGACTCCTGCATACCTCCAACTGCAGAGTGGACTTCCCTCATTTAGGGTACTTAAGAGTGGGGAGAAAAAAAACAGGCAATTCAATGGTCAGGTCATTGCAAGCACAAAAGAGGATTATTTGTGTATCCTATGATCACAGAGTTGGTGTCGAGGCACTACGAATGAAATGTTAGCTTTGAAATATACCACAGATTATGCATGATTAGTATCACCCTTTATAACAGATACTGCAGCTTGTTACAATTAATCCTATAACAGTGGGGAAAAAAACAGTTTTACAATTAGCTATGTAATTGTTTGTTCTTCCAACAACATACTTACCATCTTAGATAGATAGATAGATAGATAGATAGATAGATAGATAGATAGATAGATAGATAGATAGATAGATAGATAGATAGATAGATAGACAGATTGAGACATTCATGTTATTAACTTACATTATATGCTGGCAAAAGAACAGTCATTTTAAAATGTTGGTTTAAAGCTTTCTGCATTCGTCCTGTGGTGATGCAAAGCACAAAAAAGTCCATACACAACTCCTGACTCTTTAATTCTGCAGACAGTGACAGGACACCTGCACCACCCAGGCAGCAGAGCTCATGTTTGTTAAAATACACCACACTTAGTGTTCAGCACAGAGAAAACTGTAGTGTGCATTCTGTTTAGTCATTATTGATTAAAATACTATGTCGCACTATCAGAATAAATACAGCAGATTATTAGTCATGAGTCGAGACTTTTCTTGTTTGAAAAAAGTCTGACATGGACTGTTTGTGTATTATGTTTCCGTTCTACTTTGGACTTGACTTTCTTTTCATTTGCAGTGAATATAACAGTGAAGAGAACCATTCCTCTGATATCAGTCCACAAACTGAAGTCACACAAAAATGTATCTACAATTGAAGTTACAATTGAAACACATTTTCAGGAAGTCCTGTTCTATAAAATTACAAATATAATAAGCTTCACATCCAAATAGTAAATGTTTCATGAAGCAAAGGTGTAACCTCTCATTTACAATCCATTCTTCAGATAGGTTTCTATTAAATGTTATATTTGTTATTTTGTTGGTAACTCTTGGCTTTCTATTTGAATGATAAATTCTTATTTTAACTTCAATTTTCTGGTTAATTCAGCAAAGATATGGCTTTTCCACTTATTATATCTAAAGAGTGATATTGGGAGTTGAACTCTTAACTGTATTTTTGGAAGATGAAAAAACAAGTTTTAAAGGATTTTTTACAGTACAATACAGATAGACTGAGTGATGAATGTGAAATTTTGTTGTTGTGGCAGTTGATGGTCAGCTACTGCGTGAAGAGGTCACACGCGCACGAAAATTGAAACCAGTAAGTGCCCTTAGTGTAAAACAAACATAAGAGGTAGAGATATTGTGCACCGATGCCCAAACTTGATACTTATTTAGTGATTTTGTTGTTTTTTATTTGGAATGAAATTTACCATTGTAGAAATTGCAAAACATATAATTATTCTTTCTTTTTTATCACTTTTACTTGCCTCAAACAATATTTACTCAAAAAGAAAAAAAAATGCCAATGAAATGAAATATTGCAGTGTGAACTGTGTTGAAAATAGGATAGATATTTTTCTCACAAAACTAAAGTTGAAACTAAGACCTTATTCAAACTGCAGTGAGTGATAATTTCTACCTGCAGAGTGGAAGCTGCTGAGTCACTAGTGTCTGTCACTCCTGTGCCTCTTGGTATACTGGACACGATGTATCTGGAGCCCTTTGGCACAGGCTGTCTGACCACCAGCTTTCCTTTCCTGGTCTCTGCTAGAAACAGACTGTACCAGTAGGCATCGTTGGAGACCAGAGTGGAATCTGCGATGGTGGAGTTCCTCTCACTGATCACACTGTTCCTGCAGGGAGGAGCTGCTTTGCTGGGTTTGGGTTTCTGGCACTTGAGCACGATGGTGACCAATATGGTGATGAGCAGGAGAAATGACACTGAGCCCAGACCGATCACCAAGTACAGGTTGAGGTCTGAGAAGATGTCATACTCTAGAGGCACCTCAGTCATGTCAGAGTAGGCCTTAACAGCAGTCTCCACTGTGGACAGCTTGATGGTGACTGTAGCAGAGAGAGCAGGCTCCCCGTTGTCCTTGGCAACAACAACCAGTCTCTGGTGGCGCGGATCTCTGTAACTGAACATCCTCATAGTCCGGATCTCTCCATTGTATTGGTCCAGACTGAACAAGGTTGCGTCAGTCACTTGTAGAAACTGGTAGGTAATCCGAGAGTTGTGCACCGAGTCTGTGTCTAAGGCTATCACCTTGGCAACCAGAGAGCCTTTATCTGTGGATCTGGGGATCTTTTCCTCCACCACTGAACCGTGTGCGCGCCACGGAGAGACAATAACCGGAGCGTTGTCATTCTGGTCCACAATAATGATGTGAACGGTCACGTTACTGCTGAGTGGAGGAGAGCCAGAGTCTCTGGCCTCAATGTGGAAAAGAAACTCCTTCTCGATCTCATAGTCAAAAGTTTTTAGTGCGTAAAGATTACCGTTCTCTGGATTGATGGAGAACAGCATGGACATGGAGGTGTTGGCTATCTCCTTCTCTAGGATGAAATAAACTAGATACTGGTTTTCATGGAGGTCAGGGTCAAAGGCAGTGAGTGAACTGAGCAAGGCCCCAGGTGCGTTATTCTCCATTACACGTATAGTAGAAAATGACTGAGGGAACTGTGGAACATTGTCATTAACATCCAGCAGCTCTAAAGTCATAGTTTCATTGTCAGATAAAGGAGGAGAACCTCTGTCTGTAACAGTGAAAGTGATGTCATATTCTGGAACCTTCTCACGGTCTAACGGCTCTGACACCACTAATTCATAATAGTTATCAGAGGATTCTCTCAGTTTGAAAGGCATATTATCTGGAATATGAAGATCAACCACTCCATTGTCACCTGAGTCTTTGTCACTCACACTAACTACAGCTATCACTGTGTCTATTTGTTCATTTTCTTTGATAGGACTTTGAAAGGATTTGATGGAAATTTCTGGGTGATTATCGTTCATATCTGTCACCTGTATTGTCAGTTTACACTGTCCAGATAAAGAGTTTTGTCCTCTATCAGCAGCAATAATTTCCATTTCATAAAGTTTAATATCTTCATAATTAATCATCTCTTTCACTCTGATTTCACCATTTTCTGGATTCAGGTTAAACATATTTTGTGTTCTCTCTGATGTGTACAAACTATATGAATAAACAATATCAGAATTGGACCCTTCATCTAAATCGGTGGCGTTTAGTTTGATTACTAGACTTCCAATCGGAGAGTTTTCCATCACATCTACGATGTATCTGTCTTTTTCAAATGAAGGGGCGTTGTCGTTCACATCAAGCACGCGAACAATGATGCTGGCTGTACCTGTGCGCGTGGGGACTCCACCGTCCACAGCAGTCAGTGTTAGATTATGAACAGCCTGCTGCTCTCTGTCTAAGGCTTTTTTAAGTATCAAATCAGCAAACTTTGACCCATCTCTCCCGGTCTGAATTTCAAGCGCAAAGTGTTCACTTGAGCTCAGGTGGTAATTTTTCACAGAATTCGTCCCAACATCTGGATCTGCAGCGTTGTTTAGTGAGAATCTCTCTCCAATGGGGCTTGATTCAGAGATGTCCAAATGCATCGTTCCTCGTCGAAAATGAGGGGCGTTATCATTAATATCGATAATTTCCACCTCGATGTTAAACATTCGTATTGGATTTTCAATTGTTGCATCTAATTTAAGAAAACAGTATGTCGTTGTTTTTAAGGGACACAAAACCTCCCTGTCTATCCTTTCCTGAATAAACAGCTCTCCTGTGTCTTTGTTAATATCAAGATATTTTTTGTTGCCTACAACGTCTAAGCGCATTTTCCTTCCCTTCAGCGTCTTCGCGTCTAATCCTAAATCAGTTGCCAAATTAGCAACGACAGAGCCTTCCTCCATTTCTTCGGGAACAGAGTAGTGGGTGACGGTGGAAACAGTGTTCATGATAGCAGAAAGAAAAAGAAACACGGAAACGAACCCTCTCCCGAATAACGGTCGTATATCCTTCGCCATCACGAAGCTCCAGTATTTAAAGCCTGGACTTGTGCCGAAATGTGGATAAATTGCCCTCTTGTTGAATAAACAAACGAACCAACGATCTTAATAGCAAGCGTTTTCTCTACGCTTCGTCAAGGAGTGACGTGCATTTCATACCATCACTGACTCTCCTTCCTCCAATGAACTATCGTGAGAACATTACCTCATCAGTGATCAGTTTTCGTGGACAGCAGCGACGAAAATAGTATTTTATGAGTCTTTGCAACCTTTTAAAACAATTTATTAATTTTGTTCTAACAATCTATTACTATATAAACAATAAGTTAATATTGTTTTAAACTAAGATAGAATGCGAATGGATTTCGCACAACAGTTTAAGAAACAGGGAATAAGTTCTTTAGTGACGTTTTATTTCCTGGTTTCTAATTACCTGGGTGGGACAAGACGCTCAATATCGTTTCCGATTCGGCAGTAAAGGGGGAGATACGGGAAACTCATGTTACTTTGCTGACCGATTCTGACCACATCTTACTGTTGTGAAAGCTTGTGTGTAAAGCCTTAAGGCTGTCTGATATTGTGAAACCGTTCAAATTTGTGAAATCCCAAGTCTATTGGTGAGAATAGAACTTTTCAATTTTGTAAATTTCACTGCTTTTTTCACAAATGGACCACATCAGACCAGATCCATCTCAAAAAAATAAAAACTTTTTAACTGAAGACAAATAACCAAATTGAGGAGCATACGAATAGCTTGCTCAACTGATAATGCATCACAATGTAATAAAATGTAATAAATGAGAAGGTAGCCCACACAATCTGCAATAAGGTTAACAAATATTCAATATGCTGGAGTTATTGATAGTCTTTCATATGTAACGCTTGGTCTCCTGTATTACACACTGAATTATCCTTAACTGTGCTGCACTATACTACAACAGAGGACATACTTTGTTGCGCACACCAGCAAAATGGGTGACTGTAGCCTATACGAAGGCTATCATATGAGGGTGAGCCATATCCTCATTGGGATCAGCCCCAACAATTTACACAGCGAGCTGCACCAGAACACATTAGTTGCAAATAAAAGCGAGATACAATGATGAGAGTTAAGGCAACACTTGTCCACTGTGCAGAGCAAGTCACAGGTGGGGGAATTCTGCTCTGTTGTTGTTACTGGAACTGATGGAGTAGGCTGACTAGGAGATAAGTGTTTTAGAGACAAGGTTGGGCTGAACACTGCGGGCTTGTTGTCCCAGAGAAGGGGGGCGGACTAAGTATATTAAGACCTGAGTTTGTTTAATTCATATTTCTCAGGCCAGTGTCTCTGGTGAGGAGAAGCCCCACTTTACTTTTGAAGACCAGTGGGTCCCAGTCATCTTTGATGATGACACCCACCTGGATAGGAAAGTGGAATACCTGTCAGACTTCCTCGACACCCTCTCTGCTAAAATCTGGTGTCCTCTAACAGGACCAATACATCCTAAATGTGATGCTGTCAGGGGTAGATCAACAGCAGTTTCAACTTATATCCATGAACAGGCTTTTTTCTGTTTATTAAGTATAGCAGAAAAATAAATGATAGGTGGTTAAGATTAAATCTGGTAAATATGGATATTTTTTCTGTTCAATAAAATTGATATATTTGTAAATTATATGAACATTTAAAAAAAATCATTACTTTGTAGTTAAAAAAGAAACAATAATCCACCGAAACAATAACAGCAGGCTATATTAGATATCTTCACTTTCACTCCACTACTTGAAAGTAGAAAGGAGATTGTATCCTCTGGAGCAAAATACCCATCACAGGAATTGGATGAATTATAACAGTTTGGATTGAAAAAAACTTGGTTTAAGGTCAGGCTGTTCCTGCATGGTACATGGTATACACTGAAAACAAGTCTAAAGCACTAAATCTGTATTGCCAGTGTATTTTCCATACAGAGTGTAAATGATATAAAATGACAAAAAGGTGAGGGGTGGATGGAAAAGAGGGGCAGAAGAAAAAGTAGAATAAAAAAGGACATAAAGAGTGAAGGAAAGGCAGTGAGGAACAATAGCAAAAGAAAGGTAAACAGGAAAAGCACAGAGAGCTTGGGAAAAATAAAAAGTAAATTAAAAAGAAAAGGGAAGGATAAAGGGAAAAGTAAAGTGATAGATAAAGAACAACAAGGACAGGGTGGAAGCTGTGCATGTGACTGTGAGTTGCAGAGAAACAGGAATAAGGGAACAGAGGAGATAGAGAGAAATGAGGAACAAAGAAGGAAAGATATGCAGTAAATGAGATAGACAGAAATGTACACATTGTAAGAGGGACAGACAGTCAGAGGGAAAGAAAAAACTAAGACAGACTTACATGTGGAGGTTTTAGTAGTAGTTAAAGAGGTATGTGGGTACTTGAAACCATAGTAATGCAGTATTTGGATTATGAATGCAACCAAAAGTTGTAGCAGTACTTAGTAGTGATAGGATGAGAAACTCAGAAATACTACTTTTGACAAAATCACAATTGCAGGCAGATTCAAGCAAAACAAAAGGGCTGCAACCCAGGAGACACAATCCACAATATGGCAAATGACTAGGCTGCTGTGCAGGTCTACAGTGTAAACTCTTTGGATGGTGGGGTGATGATGGATCATGTCAGCAGGCAGGTGCAAGGTCAGGTGACTGGCAAGGGTAAAGACACAATGAGGACCACCAGTGGGCAGATAAACAGATGTAGTCCAGATTTGACCAGTCCAGGTTTACTGGTTTGTGATCTGGACCTGGTCCAATGTGGTCTAAATGTGAAATAAGCAATGAAATCTCCCTTTTTTTTGCATTTTCACAATTTTACAGAAGTTTCGCAAATCTTACACTGTGATTTAAGAACTCTTAAGCCTCTCTTGGGTAATCTAGTCAAGAATGGAACAGTCTTGAAAAGTCAAGGTTATACAAATGTGAAAGTGGGTTTCAGACAGCTTTAAGGCTTTACCTAAAATGTCTAACATGTAGAAGGTGCAAAAAAAATAGAATTGGTTGCTCAGCACTTTAAGTTAAGTTTCCCTTAACTTTCAACTCAGCTGCTAAATCAGAAGATAACATTAGGGTTACATCTGGGACTTTGAATTCTGACCACCTTATGAGTAATTCTAAGTTTCCATTCACTGTATGATTGCATTTGTATATGAATTGGTAATTTGGTCATTTATGTGTTCTTTTATTCTTTTTTTTGGTCACACGTGTTCACAGTGGTTGTAAATGCAGAGAGTGTGTAACACTATATCCTCTTTCTGTCATGTTCATTTAGTTTTACATACAAGTGTCTATGTATTTAATGCAATATGAATCTATCACAGGTTGTACTTCATTTATCCATCCAATACCTAAAATATGCAGACAAATTCATGGTTAAATGACTATTAAAATCTATCTAGGAAAGGAAAATGTGGATTAAATTACTTGAAAAATTTGTCAAAATTATATAAAAAAATAACTTAATCTAGATGGCAGGAAGTGTAAGGAGGTTAAAGTAAACCTTATTGTACATAATTAATTTAAACTTTAATTTCAGATGCATCATCAATTTTAGGCGTTTATTCACTGGCATAACAAAAAGGGCATGACTGCTGCGGTCACTTATAATTAAACTTGATGGATATTCACCAAGTACAGTTGTGTGGAATATGTCTTAAATACATTTTCTTCATACCTGCAGAGTGGAAGCTGCTGAGTCACTAGTGTCTGTCACTCCTGTGCCTCTTGGTATACTGGACACGATGTATCTGGAGCCCTTTGGCACAGGCTGTCTGACCACCAGCTTTCCTTTCCTGGTCTCTGCTAGAAACAGACTGTACCAGTAGGCATCGTTGGAGACCAGAGTGGAATCTGCGATGGTTGAGTTCCTCTCACTGATCACACTGTTCCTGCAGGGAGGAGCTGCTTTGCTGGGTTTGGGTTTCTGGCACTTGAGCACGATGGTGACCAATATGGTGATGAGCAGGAGAAATGACACTGAGCCCAGACCGATCACCAAGTACAGGTTGAGGTCTGAGAAGATGTCATACTCTAGAGGAACCTCAGTCATGTCAGAGTAGGCCTTAACAGCAGTCTCCACTGTGGACAGCTTGATGGTGACTGTAGCAGAGAGAGCAGGCTCCCCGTTGTCCTTGGCAACAACAACCAGTCTCTGGTGGCGTGGATCTCTGTAACTGAACATCCTCATAGTCCGGATCTCTCCGTTGTATTGATCAAGACTGAACAAGGTGGCGTCAGTCACTTGTAGAAACTGGTAGGTAATTCGAGAGTTGTGCACTGAGTCAGTGTCTAAGGCTATCACCTTGGCAACCAGAGAGCCTTTATCAGTGGATCTGGGGATCTTTTCCTCCACCACAGAGCCGTGTGCACGCCATGGAGAGACAATAACCGGAGCGTTGTCATTCTGGTCCACAATAATGATGTGAACGGTCACGTTACTGCTGAGTGGAGGAGAGCCAGAGTCTCTGGCCTCAATGTGGAAAAGAAACTCCTTCTCGATCTCATAGTCAAAAGTTTTTAGTGCGTAAAGATTACCGTTCTCTGGATTGATGGAGAACAGCATGGACATGGAGGTGTTGGCTATCTCCTTCTCTAGGATGAAATAAACTAGATACTGGTTTTCATGGAGGTCAGGGTCAAAGGCAGTGAGTGAACTGAGCAAGGCCCCAGGTGCGTTATTCTCCATTACACGTATAGTAGAAAATGACTGAGGGAACTGTGGAACATTGTCATTAACATCCAGCAGCTCTAAAGTCATAGTTTCATTGTCAGATAAAGGAGGAGAACCTCTGTCTGTAACAGTGAAAGTGATGTCATATTCTGGAACCTTCTCACGGTCTAACGGCTCTGACACCACTAATTCATAATAGTTATCAGAGGATTCTCTCAGTTTGAAAGGCATATTATCTGGAATATGAAGATCAACCACTCCATTGTCACCTGAGTCTTTGTCACTCACACTAACTACAGCTATCACTGTGTCTATTTGTTCATTTTCTTTGATAGGACTTTGAAAGGATTTGATGGAAATTTCTGGGTGATTATCGTTCATATCTGTCACCTGTATTGTCAGTTTACACTGTCCAGATAAAGAGTTTTGTCCTCTATCAGCAGC